GTTGAATCGCTAAACACATACTAAAGTTGAGAGATGGTACCTTGAATCGAACGTTGTGTATTCAACAGTGCTACAATCGGTTCTTCAACAGGTGCTACAATCGRTTCTTCAACGGATGCGATTGTTGGTTCGATCAACTAGAGGGAAACGATAAGGGGTGAATCGAGAAGAGAGAATGACCGAATCGATGGACATGGACAGTACCTGGAGGATGAGAAGGCGAATGAGAAGGCGAGGGATAATATTGGAAAAAATGAGATCTGAATCGTATAGGGTTGGGGTAGATGAAGGAGCGATTAAGAGGAAAAATATCATTCAGACCTTTTCTAAAAGTCTTGCCAAACAAGATTAGGTCTGACCGAATCAGACCCTTACCTCTTAATGGTATCATTCAGATGTAAACAAACAGCCCCTTACATTGGATTTATAGTAGTTATTATAATAAAATTCTATATCATATCGTATCACACTCATACAAGACAACCTGCTACAAAGCCAAAAACTCGCATACCGCTATGTTAAAAGCTCTTTGTTGAAGGGTTCAAACCTCACCAAAGATAGTATGGCCAAAAACCGGTTTAGGGTCGGGCCTGGCCTAATCGGTCCCAAGTTTTTTCATAACTGCCCCGCTACAGGTCGAAAATGGTAAGACTGGTCAAGGTTTTTCATAACCGATGGCAAATCAAAAAATAATTTTTTTAACGATGTATTTTCTAATACATCATAAAATTTGTAATTTGGTCATTTAAATACACTTTAAAAATGCATTTTAATATAATTAAAATTACATTGTCTTAAAAAATATACATTATAAAATTATTTAAAAATACATTTATTTATAAAATTATTTGAATTTTCAGGCTGGGCTAGGCCGGTCCATAACCGGTCCCATGAAACTGCCAACAACCCTAACCGGTCCCGGTTTTCGGTCACATAATCAGTCCTTACAGGTGCCGGTCCCGGGCTGGGTCGGGCCGATTTGGCCATCACTAACCAATGATAAGAAGGGTGTGAGTTTATTTTTTCTATTTTACTGTATATAAATATTATATACTTAAAAAAAAGACATTTGGAGCGACATGTAAAAGGGATAGAACAATGGATTGGTGCACATATGGTATTCGAACTCGAGACCTGTTGAAACTAAGTTTTATCAGTCTCAGACTTGAACGACCAAAGAAAAGGAAAACGTACAAGAGTTAATGCACAATGTACAACAAGATAAACACAATTAAATTAAGGTCTTCCAACAGGATATATCAAATTTTAAATTCCATATATCTATATTATATTATAAAGCATTTGACAAAAACTCTTAAAAACCGTTTTTTATGCATGAAGTACTGTTTATTGATGCATATTACTTAAAATTCAATATTACAAGTAAGTTTGCATACGTACAACTTATTAAAACTTCATATTTGAATTCGTGTAACTAACCGTCGATAAACTTAATCAAATAGAAGATAAACATCGAATTTTAAATATAAAAAATCTAAAATATAATTAGGATAATTATTGAGTTTTAACAAAATACTTAATTATTATCTCTATAAAATATTATATTATTAAACCAAAAATAAATCACTTCATTATTAAATCTAAATTAAATTATAATAAAAAAAATTAAGGAAGGAAATCACAAAAAAAAAAAAAAAATTAATATCTAATTTAATATTAAAGTAGATACGATTTTTTCAAAATTTTATATTTTATTCAAAAAATAAAAAACATTATCGTTTTTTCGTTACATAAAATCGTATCATAACATCGACGTTGACAAAATAAAACAAAACATCAAAATTTAGATGTATCTCACTGCATTGCGCAAGTACTCTTCTAGTATATATATATATATAGAGAGAGGTAAGTTATTATACAACTCCTTACATTTGTACAACTAATAAAACTCAATCTCAACCGTCCATTTAATTTGATGAATATGTAATTTAATAGAATTTTTTATTGTTTCTTAATATAAACTATTGATCATAATTAATGAGTCTTATTCATCTTCCATAAATATTTAAATAATAATAAATAAACTATCATCATTTCCATAAATATTTCTATTTATTAGGTTGCATTGATTGTACAAATGTGATAGGTTGTATTTGAAACAAACTCTCTCTCTCTCTCTCTCTATATATATATATATATATATATATGTGTGTGTATATATGGTTTAATCGTTTGAGAACCCCATATACTGTGATAACTGTTGGAGCTATATTGTAAGATATTGTTTTACATGAATTTTTTTGCATCCAAGACTAAAATTTAATATATTGATTAACATACATTTGTTTCACAATGTTTTTGTTTTATATGTATTCGGTTAACAATGTAAAACTTTTAGTTTCATAAACACAAAAAATCTCCACGTTCTGGAACAAATATATGTTAATCGATATACTAAATCGAAGTCGTAAATGGAAAAAATATCATGTTAAATAGCACATAATGCACCGGTTCTTAAGGTTATCACAATTTTATGGATTTTCAAGTGAAATACACTCGTTAAAATTCTCATTTTCATTGAGTCGAGAACCGTCATCAACGACCGCTACATTCTCCAATGGCAACCGAGAAGATTTAACACTATTATTAACGTACCGATAAGATTTTAATCCACCAAAACGACATTTTATGCAACAATTTACCTGGTAAACACTTACCGTGGTAAGAGTCATCGTCATCACTTACCGAGTAAGATTCATGGTCATTGTCTCGCTCTTACCGGGTAAGATTTTTGGTTCTTACCATATTCTTCCGATAAAGTAACATGACTTGATAAACACTTATCCGAATAAGCGTTTGATAAACGACCCCTTACTTGCTAACGTTTTGGTAAACACCCTTTAATGTAGGTGTTATTTTAGGGTGGATAGTATACGACTGACTGTACGGGTTGATAAAAGACGAGCCCGCAGAAGATACTAGCCCCACATCAATGAGACAGATTATTTAGCACCTTCACATGGTTTATGGTGTACTTCTGGGCCCCACAACTTTTACTACTTTCCCAAATTGACCCCTCAACTCTTCGTTGTTAGATATTTTTACCCCTTCCGTTCTTCAAGCCATTTTCAGAGCTATAATGTCTAAGTACAGAACCACTTCGTTTTAATCACTTGTACATTTCGCAATGGAAATTGCATCATGCTCTGTATTTAATACATTCGTCCCTGGAAAAGACGTTATCTCGTAGTCGTGCCAGTTTTTGACGGAAATTATAAATTAGAGTAAATTACAGTTTTAGTCCCTATTTTATGTCGATTTTTTATTCTTGTCTTCTGACTTCATTTGTTACAAATTTGTCTCTAATTGATACATTTTATTACAATATTCATCCCTATTAGATGTCGTTTGTTTTCCTAGATTTAACTGCTATCACATGCCCTTCACACAAGGGAACGTTGGTAATTTTTCCTTTTCCTTTTTAATAATTAACAGACTTCTTGAGTTCCAACAATAATATACAGTCAGTGGCAGATCCAAAAAGATTTGGTGACTGGGGGCACATCAGGATGTAAAAGATTAGGTGATCGGGGGCACACTTTTTGGTTATTTGGTTTCAAGTTAAACGGTTCTTTTTTTTTTTTTGGGTTCTTTTTTACTAGTTTGGTCAAATCGAATAGCACATTATAACTATTATTTTAATCCTATACAAGTTTATGATCGCCAAAGACTAAAAATGGGGGCATTTAGGAGTACGGGGGCAAAAAGACGGGCACCTGAGGTCAATAAAGAGAAAACATAAGGATAAAATTCTATATCTTTCTTGCAACGTGTGGTATCAACCGGGTTTTCCCCCCACCATTTACATTGTGTATCTGCTCTTGTATGCAGTTGTGGCATGGTTGCCAGGCACATCACGGATCGCGGTTCAGTTTAATGAAAGTTGGTACTGATCAAACATGATCTAACACTGAAGTAAGCATGAAGCATATTCTTGTTAAGGATAGGGACGATATTGTTGAGCATTGCTTCTATCAAAAGGCATAACATATGATTTAACTTATAATTAACAAAAAAATTGAATGATATTTAAATGCAACAAAACTTATAAACTATAATTAGAGGAGGTTTACTTTGCAAACCACATTATTTGTACAAACCGTACAAACCTCATTTAACCAATCATAATTTTTCATTTTGTTCATTTTTTTGTAATTATGAGAGGTTGATTAATCATTTTTATTGTGGATGGTGTTAATCATGGATATTATTATCTTCATTATTTTAATTTTAAAGAAATACATGAAACAGTTTCATTAAATATTATATGAAACAATTTCATAACCATATATGAAACAATTTCATCAAAAAATATATTATATAAAACAATTTCATGAAAAAATTTCATAAGATTAAACAATGAAATTGACGGATGAAGGTGGTTTGCACGATTTGTACAAATTGGGTGGTTTGCATTTGATCGCTCATCACTATAATTAAGATCACAAATATCTTATAACAATAACCAAAAACAGTATCATCAATACTGTGTAACGGTTACTAGTTTGCAAATATGTAATTCTAAATTGTAACTTTAGACAGAAGAATGTGACAGTAACGGTCAATGTTACTCAAAAACTGTTTCTTTTATTTAATACGGAAGGAGTACTGATCACGAAGCAGAAGATATACTATTCATGTGACAGAAGTACCACTTTCGATCCCATGCATTTCAATAAGTTTTTTACAAAGTACAATTATTATTTTCATGAATTGTGTATTTCACCATGTACCAGAAATTATATCACTTTCATGAACTGTGTGTTTTACTATGTACTATAAATTTTAATGCACACTTTTGGTGAGTTTCGGTGTCTACGATATTTGCGATCGATTTAAAACGCATATATTAGATTTCTTATCACCGTTACCTTCTTTCTTGTAACAGTGGGTTGGGGACGAGTTTTGTCACTTATACTTTCTTATTGTTAGATATAAAATTTCTTTACGTAACCACAAAGGTGGTACCTGATTGTTTTGAGCTTGACTCCAAAGATCAAAAGTACCAGGAGGTTGATTGTCAACTTTACTAGACAACTGTTTCTTTCTTGACACTTCTCCTAGTGTGATAATTGAAGTGCCATCTGGATTGCTCAGAATGACGTATTCCATAAACATATAAAACGCATTGAGATTGATTGTCATCTCGTGCAACAACGTATAGTTGGCAAGTCTTGTCAGCATAGTAATATACTGCAATTAAGCACCTCGAATGAAGTCGTATTTTAACTCGTTGGATTTTCTTTTAATTTGGATTTGGCTTGTTAAAATTGACATGCACACGACACTTTTTACGTATCGTATCGAAATCGTTCATACAAAATCAAGATTTCTTTAAACTAAATCTGTCTATCGGGTCGATACGTAGATTTAACTTTTAAGGGACTGTTTTTGCAATTAGTTAAAACTACTTGAAATTCCCATAAAACATGCAAACTCTATGGGTACTATTGCAAAGATAATAATAACATTTCAATATTTTCCAAAAGTAGTCCTTCAATTTTCAATAAGTTCCAACATTTACCCCTACTCTTTTCACTCTCCACTCTTATAAAGACTAGTGACCATCTTATGCATTGAACTCAAAAACCTCCAAAAACAAAAAAGCAGCTCGAGCTCCACAAAGTAGGTTCTAGAGAGAGAAAGAGACAAGTTCTAGAGAGAGAAACATGTCGAAAGAAGTGAGTGAGGTCGGAGAAACGGCAAGAAAAGACTACGTCGATCCACCGCCGGCACCCGTCGTTGACATGGCGGAGCTGAAGCTGTGGTCATTTTACAGAGCTCTCATCGCTGAGTTCGTCGCCACCCTACTCTTCCTCTACATCACCGTCGCCACCGTCATTGGCTACAAAAACCAAACCGACCCATGCGGCGGCGTTGGCCTTCTCGGAATCGCATGGGCCTTTGGTGGCATGATCTTCATCCTTGTTTACTGCACCGCCGGTATCTCCGGTAAGCCAAAAAAAAACCATTTTTTTCCGTTCAAGAAATCTTAGTTTATATGACCAAAAATTGTGCTCTTTTCTAAGAAAAAATATATGATTTTTTTTTTTAAATAGTGACATCATTTGACTAATAAAATTACACTAATAAGATTCAAATTTGGGTGTGGAGTTGAATAAAAGCTTTGCAAACCAACTATATTAAATATAACTTGTGTTCGTTATAGTTTCAAAATCCATATCACAAAACAAACTAATATGGTTGCACCTTTCATGAATAATATGGTGGAACGTGCCACCGTATGCACCATTATAGGTCCGTCCCTGTTGTAGATCAAATCAATAAGATTTTTGTTTTTTTATAGATTAAGAGGTTGTTTGTTTACCTCTTAATAGTTCCATTAAGAGGTAATCTTTGAATCCAGGTGAATTTTGTTTGGTAAAAAAATAGTCTGCCTTTTAATGGTTCTAAAACCCTCTAAATGATTTTGTATCATGAATCTCCTAAGAGCCTTAATTTCATTGTACATATTTACTAAACAATTATATTTCATTTTGCACTATATCATGAAAACCTCTTAATCATTCTGCATCAAACCATTAACAGGTGGTCACATAAACCCAGCGGTGACATTTGGGCTGTTTCTGGCTCGAAAGGTGTCGTTAATAAGGGCAGTGGCGTACATGGTGGCTCAGTGTTTGGGTGCGATCTGTGGTGTGGGTTTGGTGAAATCGTTCATGAAATCGCCATTCAACTCACTGGGTGGTGGAGCCAACTCAGTTGCTCCTGGGTACACCAAGGGTACAGCACTCGGTGCTGAAATCATCGGAACCTTTGTGCTTGTTTACACCGTTTTCTCTGCTACCGACCCCAAGAGGAGTGCACGTGACTCTCACATTCCTGTAAGCATGCTTTAGCTGCTTGTACCCTTTGCTTTCTTTTATGTACATCATGAGTAGCTTTAAAGTAGACAGTAAATAGTACTTGATCTAAAAAAAAAAGCTAGTGTCTGATTGGTTTGAGCTTGGCTCTAAAAGTCAAAATTAATAGGAGGTCCCGGTTTCAAATCCAAGGAGGAATAAAAATCCCCTTGTGGCCATGGAGTTTCAGATGCGGGGACCCCGGGATATCTGCAAAGGTGGTCGTTATGGGATTAGTCGGCTTGCATAGCGGCTTGTAGGCATCATAACAAGTTGTTGTTAAGACAATTTTGAAATAAAACGTCTTATAAGTTTTTTTATATTGTATTATTTGAAAAAAATGCTTTATAGAAACACAAGTGTCTAATAAGTAATAAAAGATGTGTTTATAGCACATTTCTCGAAATTGTCATCTGGGTTCGAATCCTACTGAGAGGTCCACTAGAGGTCAGAAATTGTTGAAGAAACAACAAGATCTGCTTCTCACGTTCCGTGAATAGCCGGGACATTGAGGAATATCCAGAAAGGCATTACCGTGAACGACACACTTCAATCATTTATCGCCACCTCCTTTTCAGGGGGAGCTAATGCTTGTTGGGTATTTTGGTTTGACACTGTCTCACACCCAAAAACAGTTATTTTAGAAAGTAATCTAACGGGATTTCAGATATTCTTACGACTGTATTGATTTAGTATTGGATTGAATGTAGGTATTGGCTCCATTGCCAATTGGGTTTGCAGTTTTCATGGTTCATTTGGCAACCATTCCCATAACTGGAACTGGTATCAACCCAGCTAGAAGCTTTGGTGCTGCTGTCCTCTACAACAATCAAAAAGTCTGGGATGATCAAGTAAGATTCCCTCCCTCTTGCTTTAACTACTTGTACCATATGCATCAAACGTTGTACCATAAAACCACAAGGGTACTGGTGCCTGATCGGTTTGATCTTGGCTCCAAAGGTCAAAAGTACCAGGAGGTCTCAGGTTCAAATCCAAAGAGGAATAAAAATCCCATTGTGGCCCCACGGAGGTTCAAATGCGGTAACTCCGGGCTATCTGCAAAGCAGGTGGTCGTTCTGGGATTAGTCGGTTCGCATAACGGGTTGGATATTCAGGTTGTTGTAACATAAAATGCCAAAAAGTAATAGATGGGGTTGAAGCAATGATGAGTTGTACCATATGCATTAAATTATGCCTGAAATGTTGAAGATTGCTTTGAATAATGCAAAAAGATGGTACCCTTCAAACTAACCAATAACTTTTGTAGCCTTTTGTCTTTTTCTCTTTATCTTAAAAAAATGAGAAGTGAATTGCAAGTTATTCCTTTCTTACATGCATAAGTAATTACCAGGGCCCTCCCTGGGGGAGGGCAGCACAGGTGCACGTTCAGGGCCCAAAAATATAAGGGGCCCAAATTTTTACCTTAAAGTATATAGTAATCTAAAATAATTTAATAAATTAAAGAAACTAAAAAATTGTAGCATATAATAAGAGACAAAAATAATTTAGTAGGTAATAAGGGCCCAAAAATATATCAACTAATTACATTGGAGAAAAAAATAAAAAAAAATAATTGATCATTCATTATATGTTATTGTTTATTGTCCCAATAACTTTTTTTTATCACCAACAAGGTCTAATGATATTGACTATTGCTATCTCTATATACTTGACTATTTTCGTGCTTCAACAATTCAACGTTAAGATCATGTGCTTGTTATTGCTATATATTTTTGTTAGATATTTTTATCAATTTCTATTTTTATTGACTATTGGTTATGTTTTTCTAATTGTTTTTGTTGACTATTGTTATCTATTTTTGCTTCTACATAAAATATTTTACTTTTTTTTATAATTAATCTATTGTTCTTATGATTTATGACGTGTTTCATGGTTTTGTGATTAATCAATAATTTTTTTCTACTAGATGTATTTAGTAATGTCTCTTATATATGTCATGTTCCATAAACTTTTAATATTAACATTTTATTTTAGTTGAGCAAAAAAAGTAGAAAAATATAATTTAAATATTTTCATCAATTGTTTGACTTATGTATCTTTCATTGGGATTCCACCACACCACAARATTYTATTTAARTGYTCAAACAATCATTTGTTGAACTTGCATATTATATGTTTAATTCATTATTTATTTTTACTAGATCTCAATGGATCATCTTTTCTTTCATATTCTTATTAATCTTCATTTGTCTACTTGTCTAGAAAACCTTGATAATCTTCTTTATTATTGATCTCTCATTGACCTCATGATTATTTCATTAACACGAAATCTCTTTTTGTATCAAAATAACATATATTTCTTGTTATAAAGTAAAAATTTCTTACTTTTGATAAACGGACTTTTAGCGACAACAAAAGTCGTTGCTAAAAGTCTTGTTTCTTGCAGTGGGGGCCCTGTTTTTATGTTTGCCCAGGGCCTAAAAAATGTCAGAAACGGGCCTGGTAATTACGGAAAACTTAGCTGTTGTTTAGTGTTTACCAAACGTTTATCCGGATAAGCGTTTATCAAGTCACATTATCTTATCGGATGAATATGGTAAATGACAAGAATCTTATCCGGTAAGAGCGAAACAATGACCAAGAGTCTTGCCCGGTAAGTGAGGGCGACGACTCTTACCATGGTAAGCGTTTACCGGGTAAATTGTTTACATGCAATGCCGTTTTGATGGACTAAAATCTTATCCGGTAAGTAAATGATAGTGTTGAATTTGTGGGTAAAAAATTGAGTATTTTAGGCATCCAATTGTGTAGGTTGTGCATTGGTTACTTGTAGTATACAAATAATGCATTGGTTACTTGTACTGTACAACTGATGAATGCATGAATGGCAGTGGATCTTTTGGGTGGGACCATTTGTGGGAGCAATGGCGGCAGCAGCATATCATCAATACATTTTGAGGGCTGCAGCCATCAAAGCTTTGGGTTCATTCAGGAGCAACCCTACTAACTAAATCTAATTAATTAATTAATAATTAATTAATTAATTGCCTTTTTTTTTTAATTTATTTTTTGGATTTGAAGTTTTACTTTGGTTTGTTTTTATTTATTTTACTAGCATTTGGATTTGGTTGTGTATTTTTATTTGGTTTTGAGTAACGAATGGTGTGATTTTAGATGTTTTATGTTCGATTGAAGGGTAATTTAGTAATTTCATATGAATTCGGGTATTCGTATGAGGCGTGGCATGACGACGAGGTTAAGCCTCAAGTCTTGCCAGTTACGGCAAGGCCATGCGTTTTTAAGACGTGTGACCTAATGCGGCATATGTACACACACATTTGTATGTGTTAGTGTTTTGAATAATAACATAGAACGAACGACATCCATATAAAGCAATAAAACTAAAAAATTAAGAAAAAACCGTTGATACCGATTACATAGAACTTATAAAAAATGATATCAATAGTGTAAAATCGGGATTAAATCTCTTGAATTTCTACTCGTTACTTTCTTCGGTTCTCAAAGAATTCGTGTTTGATGTTTGATGCACGTAAATGTGAGTAAGGGGTTGTTTGACAGTTGCTGAATGGTTTTATGCAGAATCATGAAGTGGTCATAATGATTAAGAGACTTTCATGATACAGTGTAAAATGAAATATAATTATTTGGTAATTGTTTACAATGAAATCAAGGCTCTTAATGATTAAGAGGGGTCCAAGATACAACATCATTTAGAGGGTTTTAGAACCATTAAGAGGCAAAAAAATTGTCAAACAAGATTTAGCTCTTAACAATTCAGATATTGTCTCTTAATGAAACTATTAAAAGGTAAACAACAAACAACCCCTAACTGTTTGTTTAAGTTATAAGTCTCTACATAATTACCATTTATATCTCAAGTTATAAATTAAAGTAACGCACACTTTACAAAATAACGTGTCGTAATGCGTAATAATGCAAGCCAAGACTTAAAGTGGAACCATGCCTATGAGGGTTAACGTGGCGGTAAACCCAAGCCTTGAAGCCATAACACTTCATAACAAATTATTTAGAACCATGCTTATAAGCTATATTAGCAAATATTATTGATTTAAATGTCATATCAGTATGATAATCTGTTAATGCTTAAATATGTTATCCAAATATTTAAATGTTTTAGACCAAAAATAGATAATTGGAAGATGATGGAAGGGGTCAATGTTTGTGTGACGATGACCATTGACCATTGACCACGACATTACATGGCTGACATTTTGCTTTAGGCTGCACACTAAACGACAAATGGTGCTTTCAGAAAAGAAGATATCAGTATACACGTGTCCATGTCTGAGAGGTTGAGTCTTGATGGTGTGTTTTCACATGGTAGGTCCTGTCCCACCCTGTAAAAGCTCTTGTTTATCTTCTTTACATTCGTCGTTTCTTTGAACACAAATTAATTAAGACAAATGGTTTTTTTATTGTTTGTTTATTTCTTAATAGTTTTATTAAGAGACAATTTTTGAATCGTTAAGAGGTGAATCTTGTTTGGTAATTTTTTTTGCCTTTTAATGGTTCTAAAACCCTCTGAGTGATTTTGTATCTTGGATCTATCTTAACAATTAAGAGCCCTAATTTCATTGTATACAATTACCAAACAATTATATTTTATTTTGCATTATATTATGAGAGTCTCTTGATAATTCTGATCACTTAATCATTATGCACCAAACCATTCAGCAATTGCCAAACAGCCCCTTAATGGTGTGCTTGATTATTTAGCTTCTCCGTCTCAACACAAACATCAAGCTTAACTTAACTCGTAATAAAGTCTGAGTTTTTAGGTATTTTTCTCAAAGGTCATCGACACGAATCCTTTAAGGTCAGTTGGGGGTTTTTTTTTTCTTTCTAATTGATCTCTGATGCCTCTAGGACTGTCGAGATGCATCGTAAGTTGACTCGGACACCTACGGTTGACCAAAAACATTAACAACAAACTTGTTTAAATTCAAACGATAACCAACATAAAACCACCATCAAGAACAATAATAACGTTCGCAAACAGTACGTAAAACGATATAATATTTGTCATTTTATCTTTTGTTACCCTTCAACTATCATTCATGTCAGTTTCAGTCCCCTCGTATTTTCGAAACCTAATTATCTTCCATATTAGTTAAAGCGTTTCCTATAAACTAATAAAGCGGGTAAAAAGTACATAAAATAGTATTTTTGTAGGATTTGATCAGTTATCATCATTTAGTAGTTTCTAATAACAGTTTTTTATCATATAATTTACTGATCAAATGAAAGGAAAGACGTAATAATCAATGTAACTGACTCACTGTATATGATAAGGAATAGTCAGATAATATAGATACTTGTATTATAAACTGTTTGGGTTTGAGTCTTCTTGTATTTTATTTTTTGTTGTAGGTTATATCTCTGTCTAATAAATGAAAGTTTTATCTATACTATATTATAAAACATTTGACAAAAACTCTTAAAAACTATTTTTATGCATGAAGTACTGTTTATTGATGCATATTACTTAAAATTCAAGATTACAAGTAGAATGTGCTTAAGTACAACTTATTAAAGTTTTATCTTTGAATTCTTGTAACTAATTGTAGATAAACATAATCAAATACATGATAAACATCTCATTTTAAATATAAAAAATCTAAAATATAATTAAGATAATCATAAAATTCTAACATAATACTTAATTATTATCTTTATAAAAATTATATTATTAAACCTAAATTAAATTATAATTAAAAAAATTGAATTAAGAAAATTACACCAAACACAACAACTTTTAGAAAGATTAATTTGACACTGATATCGATATATTTTTAAAAAAATTTATAATATTTTAAAATTTATATTTTATTCAAAAATAAAAACATTATCGTTTTCGCAAAACCACATAAAACCGTATTATATCGACATAAAAAGAAAATAAAACGAAACACTGAAATCAAGATGTGTCTCGATGCATTGCACGAGTACCCCTCTAGTCTGTTTTAAATGTATATAACAGTAGCCTTGAATCATATAATGGTTATTCAAATAAAAAATCATGATGATAACGTAATAGAAAAACCATTCTGCTTGAATGTCGGATGACCACTTATTATACTTTCGTGGTAATTCTGTAAAGTGTAAAAAGACTGTCATGACTCTTATATCTATGATAGCACAAATGATATAAAAACAGTCTAAAGTTAAAAGCAAGAAAACCAATTTATATGTGTTGTTTCATAGATGAAACAACAGTGTACATATTTGGTTTTTTTTACAGATGAAACGTTAATGAATGTTTTTTCACAATTTCTAAATTTTAGACGGTCTTCATACAAGTGCATGGTGTGTTTTTCTAATCCCAGATGATAATATTTTAGTTAGTATACGAGTCAAGACAGTCGTTTTCTTAATTTATGAATATAGTTAATATACTGTGATAAAAATAAAATACAGAAAGTAATAAGGTTAATACACTATTGAACCGAGAATGAATTTTCATGCGCATCATATAAAAAATGTGACAATTTATTCTACAAGTCTATAATGTTTTTCATTTATAAAAATTTAATTTTATCAGTAATCAATTAAATTTTGGTATGCTAATTAAGGCAAATTGTATGAAAAAATAACGTACGGTTCAAAATCGAGTTTAACTCACCGTAAACGAAGACTTCCATAATCAGGCCTTATGGTTTCCAGTTAGATATAAATATTGGAGTTTTAAAAAAGATAACAAAAGCGGGGATAGCTCAGTTGGGAGAGCGTCAGACTGAAGATCTGAAGGTCACGTGTTCGATCCACGTTCACCGCATAAATGGAATTTTAATTATTTTTTTTGAATTTAAATTATTTTTTTTGGCAAATTTTATGTTATATTTTTTGGCAAATTGCATGAAAAAGTAACGTACTTTAACTTGATTTATATTTTGAGTAACGTACTCTTAAACCTTTCATCTTCTAAAGTTTTAAACATTTAAGTACTCGGGTAACTGCTTGAAAACTAATTTTAGATTAAAAAAAATTCATGTCACAACAAATAATGCTGAGTTTGGATACCACGTCACTGGCCACATCAACATGATAATCGCTAATTTTAAATTAAAAAAAGATTAATTTTATATTAAAAAAAATCCATATCACTAACCACGTCAACAAATAATACCGAGTTGAATACCACATCAGCATGATAATCAGTTAATGCTTCAACTGGTTACCCGAGTACTTAAAATGTTTAAAACTTTACATTTTAGGTACCAAAATAGACGTTTTGAAAGTACGTTATCCAAAATAGGAATCAAGTTAAAGTACGTTATTTTTTCATGCAATTTGCCCATTTGCATGTATTATGTTGTAATTTTTCTTCAACTCCACATTTTGTGACTGTGAGATCAGCTAAGTTTGTCCAGTTTGATTTTTTATATCATAATTTAAATACGGTTGTAATTTTTTTTTTCTATGGTAAAAAACGCATTTTCGCTGCAGGATAATAATAGCACGTTGACGGCGCCAGGACAGTGATGAGTTGAATAACTTTTTGGAGATTCAAACATTGTGTAGCACAATAGAGAAATACAAACATAACTGATTTTTAATGGGGACCGGTCAAGATTAAGCATGAAAATGAGACAGGGACATCAATACCTATTTTTAGATTCGTGCGGGTCATCCTTGCAAGGGACCATGTTAACATTCTATGGGGATGTTCGGTTCGTTTTTTATTAAGACATGTATGGATAAAGATGTCTGTATTGATAAAGTTGTATGTATGATAACTTATAAATTGTTGTTCGATTGTCATGCTGAATAAACCGTCTGAATGTGACAAATGACATTTTTACCCCGAATCATCTCTCGCCGACTCTGTCCCTGTGTCACCGACTTCCCTCTGTCGCCGACTTCCCACGACCGACCCTCTCACATCCCTCCCTCGCCGACTGCCCACAGACCGACCTCGCCGACTTCCCACAGACCGACCTTGCCGATTCTCCTTGTTCGGTGTCTCCCCAAACCGACTTCCCACAGACCGACCTCGTTGATTCTCCTTGTTCGGTGTCCCCCCAAACCGACTTCCCACAAACCGACCTCGCCGATTCTCCTTATTCGGTGTCCCCCCAAACCGACTTCCCACCTCCCTCCCTCGCCGATTCTCCTTGTTCGGTGTCCCCCCAAACTGAACACAACACATACCCACAAACCCTCTCACCTTTACAACGATCCCTCTCTACGCTGCACACACCGAACACAACAAATACCCACAGACCGACCCTCCCACCTCCCTCCCTCGCCGACTATATCTCTCGTTCGGCCTGAATACCACCACTCGCCGACTCTCAGTCACCCAAATACACCCGACTCTAACCTCGTCGCTACCCCATCGGAAAGGCATGGAAGTGAAAGGGGAAAAGAGGGAAAGGGCAAAAGGGGAACAAATGGTTTAATAAAGGGATGAATACAAGAGACATCATTTTCCTAGCTGAGCGATTCGGCTAATGGCTGGCCGAATAAGCCCATACCGAACAGCTGGATATGGCTGTGCGAATAAGCCATATCCTTTATACAGCTCGTTAAGCTCCTATCGAACAGCCCCTATGTATCGTTCCAATTTAATCGGATTAACCCGAAGGGACAAACAGAAGTCGGAGCCATGGTTATGAAGCAGCGACCTGTTTCAACCACATATATGGACATAAACCACTCAAGCAAAAATTTGTGTATTCTTTTATACTTTAAATTTGAATTAAATCAATAATATTTAAATTATTCATATATTAATAAAATATATTATAATTTCAATATTTCCATATAAATTTACTCAATAATTGTAACCAAAGATGAAAAGAATGTTATATTCAGGGGTGTTTGCAGTGCGGTTTGAACGTAGTTTGATGATTTAGAACCACACGTCGCATTGCATAGTACGATTTAACAGAAAATGCAAACCGCATCACTAAAGTTCTAAACCACTCGTTGCAGTGTGGTGTGAACGGTTTAGATGAACACCCTAATTATACCATTGGATTATGTTCACAATGATTTACATCTAATTAGGTTATTCGTTTTCGACTTATTGGGTCGTGCTAATGGAATGTTGGTTTGTTGATGCAAATGTGTATAGCATAATTTTTTGTCAGACTTGTTTGTCGAAACCCGGATACTGTTATGAAAATCAAAAATAAAGCAATCTAACTGAAATCCTCACCAATTAACCCAAAATTCAATTCAAATAACTTAGTTGACATTACCTTTTAATCGATCCAATTACCTATCAGTTACCATAATAATAAATAGAAAGAAAGATATTCGAACCAACAACCTACAATAACACATGCAATGATACTATCTATAGATTGCAACCACTTTTTGTAAACTTACGGTAGCACATATAATATTAAAGCACGTGCACGGTGAACCTTTAAGAACCCTTAAATTTTTCCATTTCGTCAAAGAGGATAAAGCGAGACATGGGTGGCCCTTAATCTATTACGAAACCTCCCCCTATGTGCATACCTTAATAACTAATCCCCGCTAATCTGTCACAGCGATAGAGGTTTGGGTGTAATCTATATATGTGAAGAGGACCTGTAGCGATAGAGGTTTGAGTATATAATCCATTTATGTGAGCGAGACCTGCCAATGGTATACAAGTGCGATTTACCTCCCCCATGATGACCGTGGGCCAATGTGATGGTGGTGGTGGTGGGGCTCCAGAGGGTGGCGAATACGTTTTTATTTATACCTTAGAACTAACTAATCACAAACAGCTAGCCCATGAACAAATATAAATTGATTCTACGACTACGGATGAGCCTACAAAGATCTGCAACTTGACAAAAAATGGCATAATCAATCCTCAAGGTATATATTTACAGAATTCACTCTTATGGTGAAATCATATGAATAGTCTGAATCACTTCCAATTTAGCTTTGTTGATATCAATTAGAAAAAGACATATTATTCATACAAAAATATGGAAACAAATGATTATTTGCATTACTAATAAGGCAAATGCATTTTGTTGTCTATACATCTTAGGACTGAGGAAAGGTTTGTACCCATCACACTGTACTGCTAGTGGGATATACTGGGTACGTGTGGGATGGATGTTTAAAGCAATCGAAAAGCAGAGGGAGTTGAGATCAATCGAAATTCCTAGAGGCCAAAAGTCGAAAGAAGAACCAAAATGATATATGTTACATAAGAGCACATCAAATCGTACACCCTCGGCCATGGCGCATATGGAACTTGCATATTCCTCAAGTGGGCCATTATATATGGCAAAGCACCAGACCATGTGCCATTGCAACACCTTGACTTCCATGTATTAAAGCGGTTCATACTTGAAAGACGTTATCTTGATTCAGAACTTCCTAGGTGCATTTATCAGTCAAGTGTCCCAAATTTACCATGTTTGTTGGTAACTTAACAAGTATTCTTCCATATCTACTAGCAAAAACATAAATTCTTATTGTTCTCTTGGTATGCGGACGGACTAGATAAGACTGGATGGGATGGAACTAAGCTCAACGGGTCAAAAACTAGTGGAAGCTTCTAGGGTTTTAAATAGTGTAGTAATTTAGATCTTGTCTCCATAATTTTTCTTCCACCACCTATTTTGGTGGGACCCACTCAATCTCGTCCTATCCCTATCTAATGTCGCGCCATACGTGAGACATCAAATTTATGTTCTGTCATATGTAATCCATGTCTTGCTTACCAAATGCACCTTTAGCAAACTCCCAACTAGAAAATTGGGTTCCACTGTATCTTAAACTACAGAACTGTTAAGAGTCCCATATCGGTTAGACTTGGATCATTTCTCCTCGATATATGTAATATGTTAGAACCTTCATTCTCTCCTCAAGGTTTGTTCTGGAGAGTACTCAAATGGGGTTCAACATATTCTCACAAGAACACCTAAAAGTCACTCTCGACATGAATTACATGTCTATACATAAAGCCTAATCCAACACCCTGCAACAAGATTTAATTACATCAGTAACTTCACAAAGAATGTCATGAATGCATTCTTGGACTAATGAACTTTAAGGCACTCAAGAGTCCAGAATACCAATTCTAATCACAAGCTACATGTCACAAACAATGATCATTTGGCCTTGTATACATAACTTACATATAATTAGAAATCACCCATGTTCATAAGGTGAGAAACTATCCATTTACTATGCCAAAAGGGTATGACATTCGTCTGAGATGAGTTAGGGATACAATTGCGATATCTAGCTTCAAACAAATGTTTAGAAATTGAATATATCAAGAAATGTAGCAGCACTTATTAATCAACTCAACAAGTCATCAGGTAATGGTATGCATTTCTAACGATACCAATTCATATATGCACTTTTATGAAGTAAAATAATGGGGAAAGATCATATACTGTTTTTAGTGATCTGCCTCATGGCCAAAAACCTTGCAATCGGAGGCGTGAGAGCAATGGTGATAGGAACCCTAACCGGAAACAGAGCCTTATTACAAAGAACCGCCAGCGCCAATGCTCCACCACTCGACGCCGCTAGCTCAGCCGTCCGATTCCTAGGCTTCGCCGCCTCACCGACCATTTCAGGATCCGATTGGGGAAATCCAGTAGTTTCTACTTCTAATTCTTCCTTCGGACCGCCCATACCGAATTTTTCGAGGACGGATTCAAGTTGCTTGAAGCGAACTCTTTCCAAAGCTGATTCGACGTCAATGTTGTTCATGATGGCAACATACAATCCGGTGATGCTTGCGGCGGAGACGGAACAGTGTACAACTAACGCCACCTTGCCATACTTTTTCAGTAGCTCACGAAATCGACCTCCAGCCATTGGCGATCGAAAAATCAGGATGAAATGCCACTGAATCAGGGTTTTCGATAGGGGTTAAGTCGCGAGGAGGAAGACGGGTTGTCGGAAACTTCCACACAGACAGATCTCACGTTATTGGGCCGACCTTTCATTAAATGGTATAAAGCCCAAAAGTAGGTTTAAACTTTAAAGTAGGGCAAAATTTACAAAATAAACAATATGCTTTCATAAAAAAAAAATTATTATAATATTCTACTTCCAATTTTTCTTATTACAATAATATATTTTTAAATTATTTTTTATTAAAATATTGTACTTTAAATTTTTTTACCTATTATAACATTAAGTAACCTTTTGATTTAAATTTATTCATTATATCAGGTTTTCATACCATCTCATTGTCCATATAGACAATCTACATGTATTATAGTGATGTGACTTTCTTATTACAATATTGTACTTTCAAAAGTATTTTATTATAGCATCTACTAGTTCTTATTAAACTATGTACTTTTAATTTTAATATTTAGATAGTTTACATATTATTTAAATAAATATGTTAAATGAACTAAAAAAATTCTAAATTATTCATTAATATACCAATATTAATAAAACTAGAAGAAGATAACTTATCTCGCTAATATTTTTTTTAAAAATATGTGTTTTTTGAAAAAGGAAAATTAGAATTGTTCTTTTTTAATTCACCACATGAAATCAAACACAAATTTCATCTATAATCTACTTTTCACCTAATGAAATCAAACATAAATATTATACCCATGCAGTTTCGTGGCCTACTAGGATACTCTCTAAAATCATAACAAATCGAATGGTATCAATCTTTGTTAATGATTACGAATATAATCACACAAAAACCCAGAATCAGAACATACGATAACAACAGACCCTAAAATATCCAATTAAAAAACATTTTAGTTAATGTACTTTAACTTGATTTCTATTTTAGGTGACGTACTTTTAAAACTTTCATTTTGATACCTAAGATGTAAAGTTTTAAACATTTAAGTACTTAAGTAACCGGTTGAAGCATTAACCGGTTATCATGCTGATGTGGTATCCAACTCAGTATTATTTGTTGACGTGGTTAGTGACATGGATTTTTTAATCTAAAATTAGTCTTTAACCGATTATCCGTGTATTTAAATGTTTAAAACTTTACATCTTAGGTACCAAAATGAAAGTTTTAAAAGTACGTTACCTAACATAAAAATCAAATTAAAGTACGTTACTTTTTCATGCAATTTGTCCAATATGAAATTTGTCAACTCTGAAGCTAAAAGACCATTTTTGTTACAGAATTCAAGTTTAGTGGTCAATTCAGAAAAAGGAAAAAGGTAAGGGGCCTCGGTTTATGAAAATAGAAAGTTTAAGGGGCGTTATTGTAAATCACAACCAAATTCAGAGGTAATCTAAAACCACCGTGAAATTCGGTCAGTTGGATCAATCGAAAGTGCAAATCTGTCGGTGACGGAGAAGATGATCGTTTGCATCGCCGTTGTTGGCCATCAGGTTTTGTATGATTTTGCTCAATTTGATTAATTCTGTTTGATTTTCTTGAATTTTTCTGTATAATGTTTGATGATTTGCTTAAATTCTGTTCGTATCGGGGAGTACAGAATAATCCGTTGTACATACAGAGCTTCACTGAAGCAGATGATGCGCTCAAGCTTCATCATATAGTTCATTGCTCTCTTGATGTTGTTGACGAAAGAGGTATTTGGTGATGATTATGTTGATAATACCTATTTCATATTGTATCATTTGATTTTGTGCAAATCATAGTTTTTAGGGTTTCAAATTTGCCTTTTCCAACTCTGAAATTAGAAAAAGATTTTTGATTTGACGTATTAAAATGTTGGTTCAGATTTAGATCTAAAGTTCTGTTTTTGCATTAGAATCGACATCAGGGCGCCAATATTATGATTCTCAAGATGTTAATATATGTTATCTACTTTCCAACTAGGCATTCTTTTTCATTTGGAAATGTAAATGTTAAAGATATTGAATTGCTTCTAGATCATTTTGATATTGCCAAGTGTTCTTCACCTATTGGGGTGGTTTATTCAGAAAAAATAACTTTGTGGTGAAAACAAATGAAACAATGTTAAGGAGTTATCTTGAAGGAAATATGTTGCTCTGTTAAAAGGATTAATGGACTATCCTTAATTTGTTAACTTTATCGTCTTCCCTTTGGAGTGGGGTTGTCTTTTCACGTTCTGGCAAATTATGCATGGCAGTAATGTGGAAAACATACTTGAAAATTGAATGACGTTATGGTCAGAAATGAGAGGATTACATATAGAACACTATGTTAATTTGATCCTTCCAAGTTGGTATATTTCCTTAGGAGTTGTTCCAAGTCTCATGTGAGGAGAAATATGTCTTAATCAGTAATTAGATATATGTTAGAGATGACTATATCTGTATCTTTTTCATCTAATTTTATTGATGTACAATATAGAGCTTAGCAAAGGGATCTCTATTAATGTTTACCAATGTTGTCTAATGTTATATGATAATCGCATGAACTTGCTTATCAAATATCTATTTTTGAGTTGCAAGTGTTGACTAGTTCTTTTTCTGCATGACTATTCAACTGTGAGTACCCTTGCCCATTTTTATTGTTTTATGTGGATGCTTGATGTTATTAAGGGTGAAAAATGATCATGGGATCTTTTACAATTATCTGTTGTTACTATCATCATCATCATCATCATCATCATCATTCTATTTCTTCATGAGCCATGCAAGGGGATGTGGTGGCCAATTATGGTGTCAATGGTAACTGTTAATATTGAGATCTAAGAACACCAAAAGTAAATATGAAAGGGTCCTTAAATGTCATTACCTCCAAGATCCATGTATAGGCTGAAATTTACAAAACTATGAGTATTTCATAATCAGACCACACCTGGATAGAATAATATGCATCGAAACTTTTGTAAGTGAAATATCAAACATCATATATACTTGCAAAAGCATCAAGAAAGAAAATACCATCTCGTGATGCTTGTTTTATGTATGCTATGGGAATGTTGATTGGATTGGAGCTAATTGCCATATATAACTTTTGACCCAAGATGAGCATGGCATGCTTAATTGAGGTAATGAGTCATGGTTTAAGCTATGATACCAACCACAACGATGGAGGAATGTGTTAGACCCTTTTATGGTATTCTTTAGATGAATTTAAGATATGTGGACAATGTTTTATCATGTCTGTTTTGCAGTGAACAACCCAAAAAAATCTGGACCAATGCTAAATGAGACATTTCTTGGCCTTCTATATCCAACTGAAAATTACAAAGTGTAAGCATCTTTCAGATTTATATTATCCTTGTTTTTCAATTGATTCATTATAAGCAATTTTTGTCTCCAGTAATTCTTTTAGGTCAGTGATCACACTTTGTATGATACTTTACTGCTGGAATTATGTTCCTTCTATTTCAATCATAGTCAGTAACCATCATACTAGCTACATGTACATGGACTTAACTCCGATTTCATGTCGTGGGCAGGTATGGGTATCTAACTAACACAAAGGTAAAGTTTATATTAGTCACAACAGACCTTGACGTCCGTGATGCAGAAGTAAGAAATGTGAGTACATATTTTAATTGATGAAGTTTCTGTACATCTTTTTATCAGCATGCTGAATATAATTCACATCCATTGGAGTGCAAGACAAGCCAGATTTCGTGAGACCAGCTTATAGCCCTTGAATGAGTTTTCGTTATCTGGCCAAACCTTCACAACTAAAAACACCGAATCTTCACAAGACCGAGCCTTCACATGAAAGGAAACAAACAAACCTTCACATGAGATAACCAAACCTTCAAATGAGAAGCATGAAAAACACAGCCAAAATTCTCAGGAAAAACACAACAAACCTTCACGAGAAGCACACACGAAACCTTCATACTGCGTCTCACAAAAAGTGGTTGGTCTCGAGGGAACCCAACCCTCCATTGGAAATGTTCTAAAGATTCCCTTTGCTTGTGGGTAGGTGGGATCTATTATGTAACACAACACCACACTCCACCTTTTTTTAAAGGCCAAATAAACTCACACAGTCGCATCCATCTCTCCAAGTAGACTTTAGTTCACAACTTAAGGATTATGGAACACAATTGGTACAATTGTGCCAAAGTCCACTTGTATTACATTCTTATCAATTTGGACAACCATTATGGCATTAAATAAACTGACCAGATTGGGCCAAAAAATATATTTCTTGGAATTCTGCACGTTACCGATAACTTGTGAACCGTCTCATTACTGTATTTTGGTTGTATATAAATATATCAATAATCATCCACAAGGAAAAATACATCTTAGTAAAATAGGAAGAAACACAGGTCAAGAAGTTGTTTGCTTTTAGGTTCTGACTTCACCTCATAAGTACAAGTATTGTTGAGAAAAGCATCAATTGGATGTGGTTTTCTATAAATGGGTAGGCAAGACAGTATAACAAAGTAAGATGAGCATTCACAATATACACAAAGTTAAGCACCAAGAGAAAACCCAATAGCAAGTTATACCATCAAAAAAGAAAAGATGCCATGGTTACAAAATCATGTATGTATATCTATACTATATTATAAAGCATTTAGGCAAAAGTCTTTAAATCGAATCAGAGCATCTCTCCAATTGATTCGCCAAAATGGAGATTTTGGGGATTTTTTTTATTAACCTGGATATCCAACCTGCTATGCGAGCCGACTAATCCCAGGGCGACCACCTGCTTTGCAGATAGCCCGAAGTCACCGCATTTGAACCTCCGTGGTCACAAGGGGATTTTTATTCCTCCTTGGATTTGAACCTGAGACCTCCTGATACTTTTGACCTTTGGAGCCAAGCTCAAACCAATCAGACACCACCCTTGTGCTCCAAGAGATTCTCCAAAAAGGGAGGAAGTAGGAAAGAGAAGTTAAATTCTCCAAATTTAGAAAACTTCCTAAATATGATTGCGTAAGAGTGAGAGTTGGTATCTTCTTTAAATGTATTGAATAGTTTAATAGTATAATTAATATAGTAATATCTAAATGGAGAATCTGTTGGAGTTGAATGTAAATTTTGATTTCTAGATTTTGATTTTCAACTCTACGTTTTGAAGAATATATTGGAGATAAGTGAGAATTTTGGAGAATCTGTTGGAGATGCCCTCGTTACTCCTTTTCTAATTAGCTAAATTTCCATTGCAACAGTTTTTCAGGAGGTTCCACTCTGCGTACTTAGACGCTGTATCGAACCCATTTCATGTTCCGGGTAAAAAAATCACTTCCAAGACGTTTGCTGAACGGGTCAGTACTATCGTTAAGTCATTTAGCTTCCATACAACTGGATGATCCAACATTCATTCGAATTTTCAATTTTTCGTTACACAATTTAGGTCATATTTTCATCAAGACCTTCTGTTTTGATTTTTTGCATGTTTTTCTGTTCATTATTGAATCTGATTCCAGCTCTTAACTGCTCTATGAAAAATTTATGGTGTCTGTTTCATCATATTTATCTGCTACTTTCTCCATCCCATAAAATGGTGAAACAATTTTTCTTCAGTATTCCATGAAAATTGCAACATTTTTGATCAATTTCTACTTGGAATTGTAATTGGATTGTATGTGAAAAATAGCAAAACACTTGATGGAAATTGTCTTTCAATTACAAGAGCGTTGTTATATGTACATTTATTTATATCAAAATCGACTTTTTTTTTTATTAACCTGGATATCCAACCCGCTATGCGAGCCGATGAATCCTAGGACGACCACCTGCTTTGCAGATAGTCCGGAGTCATAGCATTTGAATCTTTGTGGCCACAAGGGGATTTTTATTACTCCTTGGATTTGAACCTGAGACCTCTTGGTACTTTTGACCTTTGGAGCCAAGCTCAAACCAATAAGTCACCACTCTTTGTGGTTTTCAAAATCGACTTTGATTATATGAAAATATGTAAATTTATATGAAATTAATCATTTGAAAGTATGAGAAGAGTAGTGAATTAGTTTTTTTATCTTTGAAAAAAGCATCAAAAGTTTGTCTATTTTATAATCTATTTATTATTGTTTATTTATTTAAGCATCACCTTTTTTTAGAATTGTCTATTTGATTCAACCCTGACATTAGTGGTGTTCATTATTCGGTTCAGTTCGGTTAGTAGGGGAAAAATGTGAACCAAACCGCATGAGGCGGATACCTAGCTACTCAAACCGAAAGCAAACTGTAGGTTGAACCGAACCGCAGCTTGAACCGAATCAAATTGAAATAAGGCGGCTACCCACGGTCCAGTTCACGATTACACGAATTTATAAAAAATATTTACAATATAAAAACGGCAATTAAAATATAACATTTAAAATAATTGCACAACAAATAAATAAAAATAACCCTAGTGCTACAAATTAAAATACATTTAGTTCTAAAACATCCAATTTTCGGTTGGTATCGACTCTTTTTCGACTTCATACCATCCAATTTAATCATTTATCATAATGTTTGACACCAAAGCATAAAGATTTACTTATTTACTTTGAGTTTATATATATATATATATATATATATATATATATATATATAATATGAATATTCAATACTAAATATTATATATACTATATATCTGGTTCGGTTCGGGACTCATGGGCACCAAAAATTCAAAACTAAAACTGACCCATGAATATCCGATTTTTTCATTTTCAGTTTTGATTTTTGGATTGTCGATTTTTTTCGACTTTAGATAACAGAGTTGGTCACCATTTCTTGATTTTCTGGTTCCTTTTTTTTAACAAATAACTTTTCAAATAAAAATCAAATAAAATGTGTTCAATTGGTTAAAAAAACAGGCCGATGCGATTATCTCTTTCTTGGCATTTATGTTTTCTCTATATCTAAAATATCTCGTGTTTACAAACTATTACTTCCTTCTTAAAATATAAATGTTATACAATGGAAAAGAATACAATTTAAAAAATATGAAATTTTTCTTAAAAGCAAGAAATACGTAATTATTATATTTTGTAATTAAGGACAGTTTTACCCTTAATAAAGAGTGAGAAATTTTCTACTTTTCATAATCAAAGGTAAACTAGATCTTTATTTTTAAAAAAGTAGACATTTCTTTTTGGACAAACTAAAATAAAAATAGACACTTTGAAACGAAAGTATTGGACATTTTTGAAAGAATGATTACTAGCATAGCAAGGTTCAAAATACACCACGTGCTTTAACTTTAATCCTCTGAGGCCTGAGCTATAGGCCTCACTCCGTCTTAAGTGGAAGTGCAGTGATGTATGCAATTGAGGCATCCTAACAAATTGGTAGACGAGAATTCCAAGAATAACAACCGACGAAAAGAAGCCACAGTTTGTAGTCAATAATTTGTAAACATTACGATCTCCAAAATGAAACCATGCACAAGATTCAAAAAGATGTGCAGGGGTAAAATGGTAATTTCACATAGCAATCCTGAACCCAAGGTGTCCATCCACCATCCACCTAAATTCCAGCAACACAAGAATTTGTAAAAATTACCATTTTTTCCAAAATGAAACCATAGATAAGTTTCAAAAAGATGTGAAGGGGTAAAAAGGTAATTTCCAATCGTAGCCGAAACATCCGAGCTTTCGACAACGATAATAATGTCCGAGAATACAGTTTTTAAGATGTTGGAAAACACTAAGTTCATTAAAATTCGTCATCATCTTCCTCGGCTATATGTTTAGCAAGTTCTTGCTCCTGCTGTTGTCTCTCTCTCCTCTTTTCCGCACTTTCTTTCTCCTTGTGGGAATTCGGTGGAAACCGAAGGGCGCGGACCGCCTCGTTATGCATATTTAAGCAAAACGCGATTCGAGAATTGAACGCGATTTGAGGTTCGTTTGTTGAATAAATGTCGCCCGTTTCCTTAGACACCATCCATCCGTTTGTGTGATCGAGTGTGGCATCGATGGCGCCGTCACGGATTGCTTTCGATACGATGCTCTCGGCATCGGCAACAGGGTTTGGGGAGTCGAGTCTAAGCTTTGTTGCCACGTCAGCGAGGGAGATACGGGAGTAGGAGATGCTGATGTTGCGGAGTCCGGTTCTTATGACGTTGTGGCGCAATCTGACAATCAAATTGTTGGTTCGGTCGGAGGTGAAAGTGGTGGAGAATTTCTCGGCAACGGTTTTGAACAACTCAAGATCTCCGATTCTAACAGCCTGAAGAAGAACAAGAAATAATCATGAAGATCTCGCGTAATCCAAAATGATTATAAAGCTCTCTCTCCTGTGTGTTTGTCCCATCTATTGTCACACAATATGATAATCATATATTATTCATCAATTAAATAATATCGTGGGACTCGTAAGGATTGGCTACAAAGTGAAATGAGGTCTGAAAATGGCTATAAAGTGAAAAGTGCTTGGGAGATTGACTATTTTTGTAAATTTCCCCGGGTCCCACTCTACGTCTATATTCCTATCCACCCTTAAACATGTCCCTTCACACACTAAATGAGAACCACCAAATCAAACGAGCCAAGTGTATCCCTCCCACAGGTGGAATTGGAGTTATAAAGATGTAAGCAAACTTGATCTCTACCGTAAACGGTAGAGCAGTTGTTTTCGTGACGACAGCCAGTGAAATGTGTGTGAAAGGGAGAGAAACATATATGCCTAAACATGAAAAGGCTAAATAAGAGTGAATAACGACAATAAAACTAGAATAAAATGAAGCATCAAGAATATAAATAGAAGCAAGTACAAGGAAAATAGATTCGTTCTTGAGTCCATCACTAGCAAAGTGTTCTATATCCAAAAAGATACTCCCTCCGTCCCAAAATATGTGTTCACATTTCTATTTTAGTTTGTTCCAAAATATAAAGTAAGTGCATACTTTCCAACTCTACCCTTAATTTATGGGATGGAGAAATTAATTACTCCCTCTATCTTTAAGGGTAAAACTGTCATTTAGTTCATTAAAAAGTGTACTTGTGTTCCTTTTTCACTGTAGACACTTATTTTGGGACGAAGGGAGTAATTGAAGTCGAGTTAACTCACATTTGTCAGCTCAAAGTAAGGCCGCAAGGCCTTCTCCATGCCTTTCTGCATAAAGACAGTTCGTTCGGGTATCTCTCCAAGAAGCAGACGAACAATCACGGCCCATTTATTGCATTGAACCCGGAAACCAAGAGCAGCCACAGGGGCTTTTCGAGCAGCTTGGAGAAGGGATTCCTTTGCATCGGTATATTCCAGCTGAATCGTCCTAATCTTTCCAAGATAGAAAAGGTAGCGGCAAAACTGAAACAGAAAAAATAGAAAAGAGCAAAAAAGGAGCGTAAGTTAAATCAACAAGCACCCAAGCTTAATTTCAAACAAATATATATAGATAACAGTCATAAGTGAACAAAGAAAATCTTGAACCTTTTGCTAGAAAAGTTGGGATACTAAATCCCAAGTAAGATAGTGAAATGCAAACTAGTATGTCTCCAAAAATCAGTTAGGGTGCATTTGGTACACAGATGGGGAGAGTGAGGTAGGCAAATGAAAGAATTGTGGAAGGTTTTTGGTTCTTAATTTGACATGGGTGGTTTAGTAATTTACCAAGTTTGTCCCATCTCCCCAATTCAAAAAATGCATTTTTGTCCCACTCCATCCCGTAAATGTTCCAGTCTAATTGTCATACCAAATGTGGAAGAACAAACTTGTTTTGTCCTGTATGGTCCCGCGTACCAAAAGCGTCCTTAAGAACAAAATACGCAAAAAAAAGTCCAAGTGCCAAATAAAGTTCCAAAAGCTCACCACTTCTCACAAGTATTGATCATTAACATCAAAGCAATGAAACCATAAATCACATGAAGCTTCGTAACTCGTAAGGATCACAACTATAGTATGAATTAAGAAAAGGCCTTTAAAAGTATCTTAATTTAGGTTCATAACTGTCAAGTCTGTTACCGTGGTTGCGGATTTGAGAAAGAAACAGAAAACCGTTATACTAAGAATCTCCAATTAAAACCGCATAAGAATTTCCCATTAAACTGGTTAAAAGCAATACCAAACCTTTTATCTTGGATGGGCTGAGGTTAAAAAAGATAAAGCACGTTAGAAATTTGGAAAAAGAAGTACGAAATTAAAGCCGTAGATACAAATAGCATCAAATGTAGAATCACCTGCTGATTTGAATGAGCTTCAAAACGTGGTGCCTTCGATCTCAGCTTCTCTGCTTGATCATACAAATTGTAATGGAGGTAATTGCGAAGTAGCAGATTGAGGAGCGTTTCCTGCATATCGTCCATCAAAAACGGATAAACACCAGAATGCTCAACAACTACTCACAACCACAAAATTAAGAAACAAACCTGCCCCAACTCATCATGACGCAACGTTGCAACCCGGTGCAAAGCTAGGAGATTACTGCATGTAAATGTGATGCTCTTAATCAAGACGGAGAATGGAAAGATAATAATTGATTACATACTTGAGACTAACTTGTTCCTTCCTCCCATACTTCAATAAGACATCGAAAATAACATATGCATGTAGACGGGTCATCTTGGGATATGACCTTAAATGAGTTTTTAATTAACATAATCTCCTGACCATTAAAGGAAAAATGGATTTATACTCGTAAGGTCATAAATTTAGTTAAAATCTCACTTGAGTTGTATATCTAAAAATCCCGCATGTAGACGAGTTATTTAAGAGAATGACCTTCTGACATCATTTTTTAATTGTATGACCTTCTAACATATTTAAGAATGCCTCTTCCTAACACAAAATGCCTTAAATTTGTTAAAAGGTCATGCATTTAAATAAAATATATATCAGCAAGATATTCTCCTAAATAACCCATCCTGACACAAATAAAAAAAAGAACCCCATTTCGTTACACACCCACGAATTTCGGAGAGATTGCCGGTAAGTTCATAACTAAGAGAGTAATAGAAGTAGAGTCTGGATGCCAGAACATCAACTGTTCTCCTGTTCAAGTTTTTCAAACGGGTAATGCTTGCTGAGGAACAAGCCTTAGCCTGCATAATAAGAGAGAGAAATGAGATGACGTAATCAACACCACAAACTTCGACTAGGAGCATGCAATCACAAAGTGACCAAATTGATCATGCTAACCTCACTGTATTTTTTCTGATCAATCAGGAATATCAGCACAAGCAAGTAGCTATAAATCTCGAGCTCTGGGGAGTGCTTTACATTAGCTTGAGTTGTAGATGATGCAGTGTCAACTTCCATATCATGCTGATCATCCTTCACAAAACGTAAAAGCATGTAAAGCACATGGTTAGACTTCAATTCGCAATTCTTATTTGTCAGTCTGGAAGCTTGTATCATAGAAGATAAGACAAAAGACATCATTCAGGTGAAACCAAACTAAATAAGAACATATTCTTGTCAGTTTGACCATAAAAAATATGTCGAGAACACCTTTTTATCTTAAATTTAAGGCAACAGAGTTCATCATCAGTAAACAGTATGCAAGCAGATAGAATGGACACCATCTCTTTCATGTTATATTGATTTCTTGTCACTGAAGAAAAGAGACAAGGTTCCAACAAAGAGAGTTGGACCCAACCAAAGGATGTTCGTTATGTTTGGTTTTCTAAATAAGGCCTGAGTTCAATTCAAGTTTGTAAGGAGGTTGGTCATCGTCATTTGTGTTTGATTAACAGAGCTCACATTTGGCTTGGCTAGGCTTGTCAAATGATGATAATACATGCCTTAAGACATTCAAGGTTCAAGACATCAAATACACATAAAAATTCACAAGCTCAAATTATATTAACTATACAAAGCTTGATCGCCAATTCTTCTACAAACAAGCTTTGAACTTATTCAGCTCATAGAAGATGAGCTGAACTTGAGTCAGCCTTGAGCCTATATGATGTCAAATCCAAACAATTTTTTGATACAAACAAGTTTTAAATCTATTCAGCTAATAGAAGATGACCTGAACTTGAGAGAACCATACAAAGCCAATTCCAAACAATTGTGATTTAGATCAGTTTGTTTGCACTTTCACCACCAACTGATGAAGCTCACACGTCTTTCCTGCTATCGTTATAGTTGTAGCCCTTAAGCATGTCCCTCATCACGTCAAGATCTTGTGGGAAGGTTCAAAGTCTACTATCTACCACACCATATTTTCAGTGTCAAGACTATAAAATCATTGCCATCTTTCTATACCTCTTAATTTCTCATAGTTTGTCTTGTAATTGCTTGACAAGTTGACCCACCAGACAAAAATTTTAAACTGATAATCAAACACCAAGGGCTCATGCATGTATTTTCAGATGTTCTCTCCCAAAGTGCCAAGGCCACGCATTTTATTATTTTTTAGCTACCTCAAGGTTCCATTTCCTTGGAAAATGTTGCCAACAAAGAGAAGTAGGAAAACTATATCCTTCAGATGTATAGAGTTTAAGCAATGATCAAACTATTTTTTGTATATCTTTTGCATTTTCTGTGAGGGTGTATGAAAAAGACAAGACAAAAGAAGGTAGTGAGTCATAAATGACTAAGTTCCAAATCTTGCATCTTTAAGTAGTATTACACAGACAGTATCACTACAAATCTATTCTTGATACACCACCTAACATGTTCACCAAATCTGTCTGTCAGAAAGAGCGCTATTTTGGTGTATTCAGGAGCAACAACAATTTTTAGCTAATTCTTGATTCCTATTTTTTCTTCTCACATCATGATATTGATCACCAAAAAGACCATGAGGGGCATTCAAGAATAATCTAATATGGTACGTCACAGTACCTGGTGAGTGCATTTGGTTTGGTTACAGTACTTGGTGTATGCAACAAAAGGCCTAACCATATAATGCTCCTGTCTTTTACCCAAGCATGTTTTTGTTCCTTCTAGTAAGAGTGCTTTCAGATCCCTAAAATTATTAAGTTCTCCCTTGTAGCAGGTCCATAAGCACCTTGATACACTGTGCTTCTTTTTCTGACATTCTCCAAATAGAGCCATACACTTTCTTTCTTATCACAATTTGCTTACTTCAAATGTTCTTACCAAATGTTCATTTACCATCATGTAGAAAATTTGAGATAAAAGCAACTCATGTCTCTCAATATACACCAACACACATCTCTCACTGACACCAACTGACTTCCATTTATACCACTTTTTATGATCGCTGCATTTGTATTTGGAAACTGGAGAACAACCTCGAGAGGATGAATTTCTAGGCAGGCAGTGGACAGCCCAAAGTTCATAAATATATATGGATAAACCAAAAGCCGCAATGATCAACACTCACTTACACTCCCGATCATAGATGCAATTTTCTTATGGGCGTAGCACTTTGCAAACAGGTATTTCCCAAGATTAGATGTTTTCTTACATTTAAGAGAACGGGGGAGCGTGGACGAGAATGTGACCTTATATAGCAAGAAGAAGGCCTTTATCACTATGGTATCAACTAGATCCCTATAGTAATGTGCAGTCACAAGCAAAAACAATTATGCAGGTATCGTTCCAGGTTACCCAACATCTTTCATTAATTGTCACTTCCATTCTCCACTCAACAATTAGTTTCGTTCTTAAATGATCATTAATTTACACCATCATCTCTCTATCCATTTTGTGTGATTTTTGGGCTCTACATTCGAAATATATTAAATTTTTGTTTGACCAAAAGGATGCTTACCTATGCGCCTCAACTTATGCCTTTTTTAAATTAGATAATCCTCTGCTCTTTCCATGATTGCTACTTTATTAACACTAAAAATAGATGGCTAAATAGGATACAAGTCCAGTGAACAATGATATTCACAAAGCCCAGAAGCTACTAACCTTTGGAAGATATGAAGCTAAACGAGAGTGTGCTTCCGATCCAGGTGCAAGAGCAAAATTAAGAAACGAAGAGATCGCAGAAGCCTTTAACTTCCTCCTTAACGCAATTGTTAGCCTAATAGCCCTCAAAATCCGACGAACTTCACGAGCATGAGCTCCAGTCTCAATCAGTGCAGCAATTTCCTTCAAATCTGAAAGCCAAACTCACATGATTTCCACGAACAAACTCGAAATTTCAACTCTAAACAGTAAATAAACACACACATTTTTCAAATATTAATTCCACATCAACAAAGATTTGAACTTAAATTTACCGATAAACAAACTACATGATGAACAAAACAAAAAAGAATCAATATTTCATCGATTCTTACGCTGTAGAATAGAAGGAGCCGTAGATGAAACCGAATTAGAAGGAGCTGCAGGGACCTGTTGCTCTTTCATCTCAACATCTTGCGTCATTGTTCCTGTAAAATTGCAATCGAATCATAGAAAATAAGACCAATAATCGCAAAAAATAATGAGATTTCGAATTCAATCTTAAACCTAAATTTACCAAATAAGAACTATCGATTCCAATGCTTGATTGGAAAACTTTGGATGGATCAATCGAATGATCAGCAGGGGTCATATCATATAATAGGGCTTCTTTCGCAACAAGTTAAGTATTTAGTCCCCTTTTAAAGAAGTACGATTTGAGCCCTTTTATTACAAAAAAGGACCGATATAGTCCTCCTATTTTAAAACGTTGTCAGGTCCACCCAAAACTAACTTTTTTGGTCAATTTAAACCCTCAATCTTGTTTCATGTTTCCATCATGGGTCCCTCTTAATTTTAATTCTTATGGTCATATTTTGTTTTTAAATCATGAAAAAATTTCCTAATTTTATTTTTATGGTTTTGTATATATATTATAATTACTTCATAATTTTGGACTTTTAAAATAGAGCGTTGCATGAAAAGTAACATACTTTATTTTAATTTCTATTTTGTATAACGTACTTTCAGAACTTTCATTATGATATATGAGATGTGATATTTCGAATGTTTAAGTATCTGAGTAACCGGTTACCATGCTGGCATATCAAATGGAGTGGAATACAAGTGAATATTATTTGTTGATATGACGATTTATGAGGATTTATTAATTTAATTCACCATCAAGAACCATAACTTATCATCAAAAACCCTAATTAAATTTCTATAATTTAGGGTTATTATCAAGACCTTTCTTCCTCATTCCAAACCTTGTTTTTTGTTGGGTTTTTTAGCCATTAAGATTTGATTTATAAAAAGGACGTTTTGACCTGAGTAACGGTTTCTGGGATTTCGACTTAAGTTTTCTGATTTAAATCGAGATCGAAAAATGGTTTACCGGTCCAAATCGGGTTCAAAATCTTTGAGATCTGATTATAGTAGGTATCAAAATCGAAGATCCGAACGATTTGAGATTAGGGTTGTTGGGTTTTCCAACAAAGTTTTCAAAGGATTTCTTCTTCAAATAAGAATTTATATATTTACGATTTAGGGTTTTCAAGAAGATTTGTCAATCAAAAAGAAATATACTTAGAAAAATAACACATAAAATTTTAGAAAATTTGTAAAATGCAAAATTATATGAGAATAAATACCTTAAAATCAATTTTATATACAAAATATTGGCCTGTGATAGCTCAACAAAAAATATTGAGTTATATCTCATATCATTTGATACATCAGCATGGTAATTGGTTAACGATTAAATTTGTTATCTTGATGTCTGAGATGCTACATTAGCATCTCAGACACCAAAATAGAAGTTTTAAAAATCCCAAAATAGAAATCAAAACAAAATACGTAACTTTTTAATGCAATTTACCATTTAAAATATTAATGATGAATACCATACTGATGTAAAAAAGTCGTATATATATGAAAATAGATTTTGATATTCATCAAGTTAGTTTATGAAATATTAGTTTATGGAAACCATATTAGCTCGATTGATATTCAACTGTAATTAAAAAAAAATCTTACAATTAACATGTTCCAAAAAAATGAGTGTATAATAAGAAAATACGATAAATATATAACATGGTGATTTATCTACTACAAAAAAAAAATAGATTATTTACGTTTCAAATTCAAATATTTTTCTTTCAATAAGATCTTAATTCCAGTGACAATTGTATTAGATATCTTACAACTAAAATTCCTCTATTTTCTGTATAATCGAACAAGACTTGCATTCAAACTCATCTGTGCTCTGGCCATGGGTCACATAAATATAAAGCAAACCAAACCAACATAACATATTCTACCTAAAAACAGAATCTGTAAAGAATGAGATATACACAAACCTAACATCTATCTCAAAGATTAGAACTGTTGTTTTTATGAACTGGTTATGAGAAGTGTGTCGAAAGGAACATATAAGATAAATTTCGAAAAGTTGGATATGTTTAAACATACAGATACAGGCAAATACAAGGAAAATGTTGGTTCCTGTAAAAACTATCACTTTTCATGAGAAACGTGATGAACATGACTTTCACATAATATAACGCAACCTTTTTTTAAAAGGTATCTCAGACCATGTCTGAACTAATCCCGTCGAATTATGACTACAAAAAATCAACCATAATAAACTCAGTGGCCACAATTGTTGTGCACGTCTAGAATCTAACCATGGACATATGAGATAATGTAACGTAAACTTCACGTAGTATATGTAAAGGTATCCTACAAAGAAATCAGTGAAGACACAACATTCAGGTCCCACCGCGTTCACCACATTCACACAATATACAGATATCTTCACCAGTTCTCATCAAAAATCTTTTTTCTCAAACGATCCCAGGTCTACAAGAAAAACATAACAAAGACAAAGAACTGCACACCCTTTGTGTAACTTTGTATGAAGGAGAAAGACAATAGGTGTGGTTCAAAGTAACATAGGTAAAGCTGCATCAATAAATTGTACTACATGCATTAACGATTATACATCCTTAACATGAATAAAGTATCAAACTTTCCTTCTTCTACACACCTTATGGATCCATACACTTTAAGATGTAAAACCAAAAACAATTGAAAATTTTCGATACATCCGCTAGATGCTGTCGGGAAATTTGGCCTCGTAGTCTTGTGGAACCTGTATCGAGGTTTATAAACATTCCGTCAACTAGAAGTCAATTGGTTGATTAAAGAGAACCTAAAATTCACAAATGCTTTGAATTTGTTGTGTTTGAATAAACCAAATTAGTTGTTGGCTAATAAGCTAGTTGATAAACTGGTCATGTTTGGTAAAAGACGGGCTGATAAACTAGATGACAATGCAAAATGACTTAAAATAACGTGTTGAAAAATACAAGGGGCATAATTGGAAAATAAAAGTGAAAAAACCCATAGAACTTGATGAGAAGCTACTTCTCTGTTTTGGAGAAATTGTTGGAGATGCTCTTTGTACGTCGGTTCAGAGAGAATGAATTGAGATATAGGGCATATAATCAAATAAAAGCCACAAAAAGGTTGAGAACCGTGAGAACCATCATGAATTGTTTCATATTGTGAAACAATACACGTGAATGTCCAATGTTGTTTCACAAAATGAAACAAATAATAGACATCAGAATAATGACAATGTGAAACAACATTGTATTTTCACATGTATTGTTTCACCTTGTGAAACAATACATGAAAACCGGTACCGAACCCTTTTGTGGTTCTCATTTGATTAGATATAATACCATAAATGTAGCGGTGATCATTTTTCCAGCAAACCATCTCCCATGAAGAGCGCGCTGAGCAGCTTCTGCAGATTGAGTATTCTCGAATCGCAAATACACGAATCCAGCACTGTTCCTGTTAATCCAAACATATGGAAAAATTGTCAAAGGACTCGTCCATTTAGAAACCGTAAATATTTTGTCTAGTTTATAAGCTAACAGAAAACTTTTTCAGCCAACAATTAGCTTATCAACTCGTTTGCCAAACATAGCCCAAACGTGATAATTATATATAACACATTTAGAATTATTTTTCCCCTTCTTGAATGTGCCTTACTATTTGAAAAGATATAATACATCAAGAAAAATATGATATTGGAATATATTGCAACTATTATAACACGCTTGCAGCTCGTTTTCGGTTGGGTTTTAACGATAACCGAACATTCTCTGGGTTTTCCTTGGGTTCATTTGTTTTCTCTCACATTAGATTTCAGGTTAATGTTTCCAGGCTCATTCGATTTTTGCTCACTCTAATAAAACACACCAAAACGAGCCCTGTGGAGGGCCGTAAGCTGCACACACGCCTGACCAACTATCTCAAAAAGCAAGGTTGTTTCCATGAAGACCCCCTGCTTAATTAGGGTTCTGGTAACCTAACCAATAGAGATGCAAAATACCCGGGCTTTTCGGGACTGGACCAAAAACCAGGTTTTGGGGCATTTTTCGGGCTCATTAGGCCCAGGCTTTTTGGTTGGGCTCGGGCTTAGGCCCTTTTTGGAATCTCTAGTTATCTACCGACCAACGACCCATTAACCCTATCCCCCACCCTCTACCTCACCCCTAATGTGGAGAAATGCAACAGGAAGTAATCAAGGTAAAGGTATAAACAAATTGAACCAAAATATCATAAAAAATGAAAGAGAGAGTTATTAAACACTTCAAATTTTCAACACACGTAATAAAATAAAAATAAAAATAAAAACTTACTTCTCGATATAGATATGCCTTAGCTTTCCATGTTTTGAGCATTCTGATTGAACGTCCTCCTTGATATCTAGATCAAAATCTGGTTCGTCCTATTAAGAGAGAGAAGAGTGTAAAAAATTTTATAATCAATGCAAAAAAGTTGCTAAATGATTCACACGGCAAACCTCCAATTCAGGATCAAACATGTTCTTCAACAATAGACATTCACTCGGAACACCAACGCTTTCTGCAGATGGAATGGTAACAGGTGGAACAGAAAGAGCGGCACCAGGGATTGTTGAAAGGGCCGAAAATGGAGCCTGTTGAAGAGGAACAACGCCAGGCACACCACCAAGAATAGGTGCGGTTGGTAGCGATCCAACAACACTGAAAAATGGAAATCGTTACACACAACCATCACGGTACAATTAGGCCATGTTAGGCAAACTAGCTGACAAGTTAGATGACGATATAAAATAACCTAAAAGCAAATGTTTTTTGGTCATTTATATAAAATACAAGGGGCATGATTGAAAATATAGAAGACAAAAAAACACTGGAGCTTACTGAAATGCCAGCTGAAGTAGCTTTTCAAAAAAAAAGACTATGGCTTACCACACACGGGTTTTCAATAGCTAAAAGATAAGCTAGCCTATGGTTGTCAAACATTGCCATAATATGATGACACGAAATTATAGTTGAAATTTGTACTGGACCTTGTTGTGGTTCCACTACGATCCAACTTCTGCATGAGAAGTGCTCGAGAACGTGCATTCAGAGACTGCAAAAATCAACCGATAAAAGTTGAAAAGATAAGCAAGAACAGATAATGGTTGTTTTTACAAATATAGATGAGTAATTAAGAGTCCAAAAACACAACAAAGTTTGCCTTAGTTTTCTCAATAATCTAACCAAGTCTCAAATTTCTTTATTATATTTAACAAAATTTCTATTTTTAACCCATTTTAATTGGTAACCTGTTGATCTTGTAACATTTGATTACGTGGATCTCGAGTTCATCGTCCACTTCAGGCTAACCCTTTCATAAACCTTTCAAAGACGGGTATCCGTGTCATCAAATGTTACAAAAACAGCAAGTCGCTGATCAAAATGGGTACAAAATAGAAAATTTTGAAACTTTGATACATCGATTCATAACAAAATTGTTTGTTACACTAAATAAAAACTAAACAAAACTTTCTTGGAATTTTCCGTTTGTGAAACTGCATAAACTTTCGTTGTTTGAGAAGACATCTTGTCAAAGGTCAATAAGACAAGGAATAGTTTCTTACCAGGCCGCCGCCATCATCATCATCGAAATCACCAGGATTGACACCCATTTCTTGCATTCCAGATTGATCAGTAATAGCAGAAACCTGCATTAATAGACATTATATTACAAAACAGATCAAAGGAAAAACTGCCACCATACATAACACATGCATTGTCACCCTTTGATGCCACTTCGAAACATGTTCAAATATCTTAAAGTAAAGAGTAAAATGCAACGAAGTTCGGTTTAGTTCCTATTTAGTGTAATAAAGACTTTTTCTCTCAACCAATGTAATAAAGTTTCAAAAGGTTTCTATATTGTACCCACTTTGACCGATAACTTGCTGATCTTGTAAAATTTGATGACAAGGATGCCCGTTTATGAAATGTTTAGGAAAAAATCATGGCGAAGTGGATGATAAACTTGACATTCGGGTCCTCAAATGTTACAAAATAAGTAGTCATCAGTCAAAATAGGTAAAAGAAATAGAAATTTTGGAAATTTTGTTACAATAAACTGGAAAATTAAAAAATATGTTCTTTGATTGAGAAAAACATTCTTTATTATAATAATTAGGAAAAGAGACGAGCTTCGTTGCATTTTGCCCTAAAATAAATAAATAAACTAAAAACCATATTTTTTGAACTCCATAGCATACATCCAGGAGTGTAAGAAACTATTTACAGCAACAAATAAACCTTATTCGATGGTAAAAGGATAAATAATTACCTAATGAAAGCCAAAATGAAAAAAATGATCATAATCATGGAAATCCAGTTCTTGTAAGTTTTATATATAGACAACCCAATGCCAAAATAATCGCTCAATATGTAACTTCATGAATCATAAGGAATCATACCTTCATCATTCGACCTGCAATCTCCAACTGTCCATTTAAACTCTGCGCTGCTCTGGCGTCTTCAAGACGTGCAAACTGAATAGGAACAAAAACGCCTAAGCTTGCAACTAAACTTAGAATTAATAAACACAGATTGACCAGATTGACTGCCTGTCTGGAAATAATTAAGATGATGTACCAGTAGCTGTAAGATCGTGTCAGAACCATCTTAAGCAGCAAACTGATCTATTGAGACCAACATGGTTTTAAAAAGCGTCCAAGGCTGGAAAATCGAGTCTGAGGTGGCACCTCTCATGGGTTAGTTGAGTCATACGCCTCAAGCCACTGAGGCGGGCCTTGAGGCGCCTGAGGCAGTGAGGCGAGACTGAGGCAGGGGTTAGAAATTAAGTTCAAATTTTAGAAATCGACTTGCTGATTTTACTTCTTATAAAATAAACCAATTCTCTTGTTCGTCTTCTCCTGGTTTTAACTTGTCATCTCCAACGTCTTAGCCAGTCTCCCAATTTGAAGAGCATCACGTATATATATCTTATTTACCACTTTGAAGAGTATATGGTTGATATATATATATATATATATATATATATATATTATTTCTTCTCTAGTCTCCCACTTTGTATTTATTTAGAGTGTGTTTGTGTCTGTGCATATCCACCTTGAGGCTTAGGCCTTGCCTTGTCAAGAGAAAACGCCTTGAGGCCCTATTCTGCTTTTTTAAAACCTTTGAGACCAATAACAGAAAGATTAAATATATGCTGAACGAAGCTTACCTGAATAAAACCAAAACCTTTACAATTCCCTGTCTCATCAGTAGGTAGCTGCACCAGCTCTACAGTGCCGAATGATTCAAATACCTAAACAGTATACACAGCTAAACTGTTAATGCCATCATCAGAAGAAAAGATGCACATCACAGGTTAAATCTTGAAAAATTTAGAGCTTCAATTTAATTTGTTTGACTATTCAGTAACATTTATACACATGCATCATCTGTAGGAAAAAGGTCCCACAGAAGATATTCACTTTTCCAAAACAAATCTATAATTATTGTATCAGGGTGTCAAACCTGCCGAAGTTGATCTTCCTTCATATTGTAATGCAGATTGCCAACATACAACTTTCTAGCCCCCCCTGCATATGCACCTGTACCACCTGCAACTCCAGCAGCAGTTGCAGTGGACTGTACAAGATTTTTTTCAGCTTCTGATGGTTTGACCATCACCGGTTGACCAAGAAGAGGCTGACCCGAGAGTGCTATTGCCATAGGGACAGACATTGCATCATAAAATTCAATGTACCTGAAAATGCCTAGATTAGAAGATGCATAATATTTCACTATAGCGATAACATTGAATATATGCAAGTTCCAAAGTTTTAGTTGCTTGTTCCTAGTTCGTGTTTAGGAGATAACATGATTTAGAAGATTTAGTATTAGTATATGTTTAGAGTTTAAACATTCTTTAGTGAAATGAGAGTGAAGCTGGACTGAAGGAACAACATTCTTGTTATTCTTGATTTGGAGATAGCTAACTTCAATGATGCGATCAGTTTCAAGGATGGAAAACATATGCAAATATGGCTTCCATGTTCAGTCATCACATGTCCAGTAGTATGTCACTTGCTCACATGTCTTCAATGAGACCTTTGCAGCAAAAGATCTTTTAATGATATTTCTAATTTCTCGGGTGTTTGGATTTACGCAATTGTGAGAAGGGTTTCAGACCTTGTAACATGATAGTGAAATGTAATGTTGCCTACTTGTCGAATCTGCAAATATGAGAATCCTCCCACAACATTCACTATGTCCCAAAACTGGGAAGAATAGATATTACTGCAAAGCAGAAAGCATACCCAACTCCTTTAGAACGTCTTGAGTTACGGTCCATAATAAGGCGTACATCTCGAACCTGAAATCACAAGTAATCCTATTAGCGATGTTCATAAAGAAAGAAGAGAAACAAGAATTGACAGCATTACTCATTGTTTATATAAATCAACAAAATCAAGGGAAACCACTTTCTTTTTAATGTTTTTGACAATTCAACTAATGGATTTGTAAGAAAAAAAAAAGATTTCCCCAAGGGGGTAGGGCCTTGTTCCACATGAATGCATAATCTTCCATGGTATGACTCATGACTGTAAGTGATGGGCGAAAATAGATAACATCAATAACAAATAGTAAGCACAACAAAAAGACAAAAGTACAGAGTTTGCCATTTTGGCTCTCACTCAAAAACATATATTGTATATTAAAATACACGAAGACTAGTGCGAGTTTAACCATAGATATAGCTGAACAGAGAACCAAGCCACTAAGGAGTGGATCGGACTCAACTTATAAATTTATAAGTGATGCACAAACCTGCATTCCTTCTCGATTTAACAATCAATCCTAACCTTTTCTCATTTGTTTGACTTTTTAGTCTGCCAAGTTTCAAGTATTTTGAGTAGAGATAAGGATATACTACACTACTCAAGATCTTTTAAGCTTGTTTTATGCTCGAGAAACTTATAGTTTGTACAAGATTAATATGATGATGATCAAGTCTTATACATCACCAATCTAAAACTTAATTTTCTATTTGCAATTTTAAAAGTGAATATTTAATAATATGCAAACAATCCTAACCCTTTTTCATTAATTTGACTTGTTGGTCTCCCGAGTTTCAAGTATTTTGAGTAGAGCACAAGATATACTACACTGCTCAAGGTCTTTTAAGCTTGTTTTATGCTCAAGAAACATAAGGTTTGTACAAGATTAATACAATGAGATCAAGTCTCATACATCACCAACCTAAAACTTAATTTTCTAGTTGCCATTTAAAAAGTGAATATTTATTGATATGCAAGTTCAAATAATTTTCTCTAGAAACATGGAGCTCTATCTGTGTCTCCGTGAAGAGAATAAGGGTTAACAAAGAGCAATCCTTATCAAAAGCATGGAACTTAGAAAGGGTGTGGAAGGATGCTATACATATGCACAAGTAGCAAGAGTTACACCTCACAATTTCTGATGTTTTCCATTTTCTGGTAAAAGCTTCTTCTAGTTGTATATGTTATATTCATAACACTATATTATTTACAGTTCAATCAGTGGAAAATTCCTTTCTTTTTAGAAAATTACATTTTTGTAAAAGTATTCATGTTTCTATGAGCACTAAAATCCACTGAGAATTGAGTGCTATGAAACAATGAAAGAGAAATGTACATCTTAAACATGGGATGGCCTTATGACTTAATGAGCCACCATAGAAGCCGAATAATTGTTAATTAAATACTGTTCAACTGAGATTCCTGTCCTACCACTTAAATATATGAAACGCACACTCAAGGACCAACAAAAAGCAGCAATTACAATAAAAGGAGAAATCAAATATCAAATGCGATACAAGAAAGAAAAAAGGTTCTAGAATTGACCTTGCCAGCCCTTGAGAAAAACTCATAAACATCTCTTTCATCAGCCTTCAGAGATATCTGAAATTTTTGTAGAATATGATTTGAGAAACACACGAGTTGATGGCGGGGGCAGGGCAGTTATTTAATATGAATAAATTAGTAGCCATCATAATAAAGGACAAAAGTCAACAGCGGGTTAAATTACCTGATATGCAAAGACAGTCCGCTGATCTCTTTCTGGATCCACCTCTGGCTCTACAGCTCCTTCCTTTTTGTCTTTATACCTCCTGCAGACAATCAAGATTTGCAAGTCATCCCATCTAAATTCATCTCTAGTGTGATGCAAATGGAATCCACTATTTGCAAGTTTTCCCTTACAATGACTAAAGCATTTATAATGTAAGGATAGAATCGAACAAAGAGAACACTCCATAAATGCAAGAACTATTCTTCAATATGTGTAACCGAAGGCCAAAACCACATATTAAGTTCTTCAGAACATGAAGTTTTAATGTTAAGAGTGTGAAATTGCAGCTGCTGAAGTTACGAAAATCTTTGTTTGCATATTCAAAAGAACCGACCTGGAGAAGAAAGTAACAATTAAAAGCAGCAGAGATTTCCATACCAAACTATGTAATCCGAATTCAGGCGACAATGAAGGATAGGTTTTGTACCTTTTCTAATGAACCTAAGCTTACTTGAACATCAGTCGATATAAATGGCAGATTGACACGATACTACTAGTAAATCGGAGGGTTTGAACCTGCTAACAGCTTTCATTTCATGATTAGCCATTTCCAAAGAACAGCAAGAGACTTGCATTACACAGAAACACATAAAAGAAAACTAAAGCCACGAGCATATCCTAATTTTTATGCAACAACAATGAAAAAACAACTAGTATTGAAGCATGTCATAATATGACACCAACTTATAAGTTGACAAATGAAACTCTTTAAGCATAAACAGACCTTTATTCAGAAGTAACACAAGTAACACCTTCATAATTTATAAAGCCAAAGAAAAACATTGCTTCTGGAATCTATGGTGTTCAAATCCATAAAGAAAATAATTGATTGTACGATTTTGTTGCTATATAGTAATAACGGTAGCTCGGTTGATCTGATTGTCTTCTAGTCAAGGAAATAAAAGATATGAACAAGCAAATCTAAAGCACCTATTACTCACTAGAATATACAAGGACAATTAATGTATTGGTATAAATCACTACTCCAATGGCGCATATAGGTTAAACAACAGAAGGGAGCAGGAAAAGAAAGATGAAGAAAAATCAAAGATCTTTCATAGTCTTGACACGATAGACATTCAAAGCCAACATACATGGTTAAGGCAACTCGACATTAAAATAGCAAGGTGGAGTATGTGCCACTTGGACAGTGTAAGATTTCCCTCAAACAACTATTGGTGGTATTAGACCTGAAATGTAATAATATTATCATATATAACACATGGCAATATAATATCCTGCAAAAGATAAATGGCTCTTGTAGACAAGTGAACTGATATCCACAAGCAAAGCCTCTGTAAAGCAAAGCCCACTACTCCCACAACAGCATTTCTGCAACAGAACAGATATAAATAAGATGATGCTAGTCGAAAGGTGGAGGATAATGAAAATCATAACATGACATCATCACCCTGCCAAAAGGACCACCAACTTGAAACCCAAATCTTGCAGTTTCAAGCTCTTATATGGATCCCAAAAAGCCTAGGAGGGAGCGTTTAGACCCATAACCTGAGTCCCTGAGCCTGGCTTAGAAGCCAGAACGACCATCTGAGGATTGCTCTAGCACATCTGCGAGTTCCCAGAATCTAGTGTTCAATATTCTATTCTCAAAACAAAATGTTCAATATTCATAATTCTAAGAAACTGAGATATCACGAGTAGCTATGGTACCAATGAAAGAATCTAGGTTGGCACTAGCAGAAATACCATTAAGCAACCGAGCAATGATAGAAGGCAATGGGGTAAACACCAAAGGTACGTAAAAGGAAAAACACAAATTGAGGGTCTGTGCTCATGAAATACAACTCAACTTTTTGTAAAAGAGTCGTTCCTGGGGCGAGCTCCCTATCTTGGCTCTGCTACATTGGATAATATGGTGTTACACTCATTAGCTTCTACAACTTGTGAGCTGTGCCAGTGGCAAACAATCTTATATACAATCATTGTGTAGATCAAAAACTATTTATACAGTACACAAAGTGAACATCAACTCTCAGGAACTAGAAGTTTGTTCCAATAGATCTTGAGGATGACAATATAAAAAATAGAAAACCATCTTCGATGGCACTTTTGGGGCCACAACACCAATAAACTTCAAACAAAATATGCACTTATGTTTCTTCATACTACTTTAACTCAAATCACTTGCAAGGCCAACCAACAGAAGGTTGAAGCATGTTTTTGCATGGGTAATCTATCTTGCATGCTTTTAACATGGGCCATAGATAAAGCTAAATATTCTATCCTTGTAACCCCTTTTAGTACAAAGAAGCCACATCATTACTGTTGGCTTACTCACGTCATCAAACAATCGACACCTGTATGCTAAAGCAAACTACCCTCCCATTCCATCTTGAAAACCCAGGACGAGTTCAGGAGAAATTTATTTGTTCAATTTGCAATTCCAAAGAGCTAGACATACACAAAATTTACTCGCATGCCATAGATGCATTACAAGACAAGCTCACATGTGCCTATTTATTGTCAGGTGCTATAACTCTCTCTCAAAGATATAATAGATACTTCCTACCATTTTACATGTCTAGCCATATGAGCAGAAAGCCTACAGAAAGTAATTTAAAAACAAAAAGGCAGAATTTCACACTCTAGTCCCTGTCATACACTTTCACAACTACTTGACCTTGCACTATAAGTACAATACATTTGGATCACAAAGCTACACAGTGAAATAACGGTTTTTGGTGGCACAAATTGCATAGCAAATGAACGATGATTAAATGCATGTCACATTTGAACAATCGATGTGGCACTAAAGCTAGTCAACGGGGAATCAATGAAAGCACTTATCATTAGCAGATGGGATAAGATCATAAACATGAAAAGTACCTGCTTTCTCGATCAGGTTCTCTAACTTCCTTTTCTCTTTCTCTTTCTCTTTCTCTATCTTTAAACTCCCTATCACGACTCTTCTCCCTGTCCCGGTCATTTCCGTGTCTTTCTGACCTGCTTACACTTCGACGTGGTCGCTCCTGGTCTTTCTCTTGCTCTCTTTCTTCCCTCTCTTTCTCAAATTCACGTCCATGTTCCCTCCTTCCTCTCCCACGTTCCCTCTCCCTATCTACACCTCTGTCTCTGTCTCTCTCTCTATCTTTATCTCTACTCTTACCATTCCTCTCTTCCCTGCTCTTATCCTTATCCCTGTCTTTAGTTTCCCGGTTGCTCCTTTGTCTGTCTCTATCACTCCTATCCCCATCTCTTGGAGATGAACGGTGGTGCGAGGAGCCCCTTTCTCTCTCGCGATCACGCGACTCCTCACCGGACTTTGCACGTTTTGACCTACGCTCATCATTGTTCTTCTCACTTCGATGTCTGGAGCTCGGTCTCCGATCTTTATCTTCCTTTTTACCAGTTTCTTCACCGCCATTAGCTCTTTCCTCCGACTTTGTTGGTTCAGAATTTTCCACCATCTTTTCCAAGTAATCATATTCATCAAAATCCATTATGCTCAGCTAATAGTCCCCAACACTCTGTGGAAAAGAAACCCGCAATGCACTTATGATCTTCCAATAATAAAGAAAGTAAGCAAGCTACATAAAATATTGTAATATTCACTTTAAGATGGTTAATAACTTAATAAAAAAATTAAGGTTGTTCGTGAACTTTTGACACTACAATCTGTATTGTGTTGTAACAGCAGTTGCTATTACTTCATAAGTTGAATATTAAATTTTTCCACAAAGAAACTTTTTGTATAGCCGACATACAACCATGACATTAAAACAAAAAATGGGAAACAGTCTTCTACAATGTCCTCTGCATTGTCAAAAATAACAAAACATATAGCACCCAACTGCTAATAAGAGCCTACAAACACTCTGTTGGCCTTCTATAAACAATTCAAACCCATTTCACCAACGTAAAGAACTAGACCAAACCAAGCCCGTCCAATATGTCCCACTGGAAGTAGCGTCTGGGGGTGGGATGTAATGTAAACAACCTGTCATCTAACATTTCCATGAAAGACCACCGGCTTGTGAAAAAGTCTTTGCACGAAGTTTTGGTAACAAACCAAGTGCTTCAAAGAGTTTGTCAAAAAAGAAGTTAGGAAGAAGTTGAAGAACAGGGAGGAGCTTGGGACCAAAAGGTAAAAAAGGAGAAAAAAAAAGGGAGACCTTTTGGAAAGAAGAACCAAGATTAATAAACCGTAAACAGTAAACTTCAAGACACTGAATTCCTACGCATAGCTGCTCATCACTTTTAGACTCAAAGTTATATACAAGAACTGGTTAAAATCAGTTCATATTATGCCTCTTAATTCATATGCATATATAGCCTCTGGTTTGCATCCTTCATTCCTTTGTAAAAAGTATACTGAAAAAGCATATATCATAACATGTATTCGACTTACTCTTGTATGCCAAATCTAATACACAATATAACATGAAATTGATTAAAATCCAACACACACATTTTGTTATTTGTAATACTTATTGCAAGTGATGAACTGTAATAAATTCCTACCCAGAAATTAAAGCTCAATCCAGCACTATCTATTCATATCAAATAAAAACGAATAAATAAGCAAACAATCAAGCTTCGTAAATAGTAAAAAACAATTCAAAGCAAAGGCACCACATCAACCAAAAAGTCCAGAACCAGAGAGAACACATTCGGAAACACAAACAGGCAAAGACCTTCATATGTTCCCGTGTTACGAATTTCAATGCAGATTAATCCCATTTCTTAGCCCTAAATCAGATAAAACAATTTAAACAGTGATCTTAAACAAACATGGAAGCAATCTACACATACAAATTAGGGTTCCTGGACAGAATACCGGCGAGTTTCGTGTATCTGAGAAACAAATTGACAACCGCCGGAGAAGAAAGGAGACTGCGGATTGAAATCTTCTGGTTGTTTGAAACAGCCGAAGTATTTTCCCTAAGGCCGACACTGAAAAAAAAAATCGACGTCAATTTAAGATGCAATTCTCTGAAATTCAAAGTGGTAGAGTATGGGCCGGGCTGAAAGCAACGAAATATTGGACCGGGCCCAATTGCCACGCCAAACATTTACCCCGAAGCCCAAAATTAAGGCTTGTTTATTATTTAATGAAATTATTAAGAGAGACTCTAAAACTATCTGAATGATTTTGTATCATGGGTCTCCCTTAATCATTAAGTGTCATAATTTCATTGTAAACAATTACCAAACAATTATATTTTATTTTGCACTATATTATGAGAGCATTTTAATCATTATAACCACTTATTTATTCTGTACCGAACCATTCAGCAACTGTCAAACAACCCCTAATTAGAATTTTGTAAAAGTAATAGAAAACTTGTAATATAAATGGGGTAAAATGTGCAAAATAAAAATTATTTTTATAAATTTTCTTATTATAGCATTGTATTTTCAGTTTTTCTTATTATAGTAATGTACTTTCAAAATATTTTTTATCAGGACATCATACTTTAAAAAATTTACTCGTTATAGCATTGGATAACATTTTAAATTAAATTTACCTATTATACCAGGTTTATTTGTCACCTCATCGTCCACGTAGCTGTTCACATGTACGATAGTGTTGACATGATATTTCTTATTATAACATTGTACTTTCAAAATTACTTTATTATAACATCACCAATTTCTATTACAAGATTATACTTTTAATTTTAATATTTTTATCATTTAAACATTATAAATTTAATCAAATGTGTTTATTAAAAATTATAATATCATAAATTAAACATGTTTACAAAAGATTACTATTTCACGAATAAAATATTCATAAAAAATCATTCGTTCATATATAATTTATAAAAATAATCAATCACCTTTTTATTAATATATTATTATAAAACATATTTTAAAGCATTATTACATATAAATCCTACAAAATATCATAAAATACCAACCACCAACATGAAATTTCAATATCCTATGTGTTGTGGGACTTCGTTACTTAATTGCCATTGCACCTCAGTTAATACATAAGGCAACTATGACACTAAGGGCTTGTTTGTTTTTTGAAAAAAACCATTTAATGCTTCTTAAGTTTGAACCGGTTAGACTTTTTTATTTTCAGACCGTTTGTTTTTTTTATATAAATAAGAGCTGAAAAGATCTTAATTTGCTCTGGAAAAAAATTGATAACATAATCACTTAAATCCTTTTAATCGCTCCCTCTAGACTCTCCCCTCCATCCTCACCTCCAGATTTAGTCCTCTAAATCTATCTCGCAAGACATTCGATCTCCAAATCAATCACGACCCATATCGATCCACATATTCTCGTAAAATCATGACCCAGATCGATCCAAATCTATCAGATCCAAAACTTGACTGATTCAGATTTCAAATTTCAGATGTAAAAACAAACAGTCTGACTGATTCAGACTTCAGTACCACCTCTTAAAATTCAGAAGTGAAATAAGACTTAAGACTTCAGAACCTCTTAAAAAACAAACGCCACCTAAAAGTTGGAATAATAACAGATTAAATCTCTAAAATACTAGATATTATGGATATTGTTCTAGTTACAGTTTGGTTTAATCCGCTGATATTGCATTCCAGATTCTAGGCAGTTTGATCGTTATTTACTTAACGAGTCGAGTTCTATAATAGCAATGTTCAGCTCGGTTGGATTAAATTTTTCGAGGCCAGTTGAGTACATTTTTGTTCAAGTCAAACATGTTTATATGTCTATTATTCATATAGTCAAAATATATAAATAATTAAGTTCGAGCCAATAAACGAGTCAATCGTTCTCGAATCGAGCCCATAAGCGAGCTTTTAAAGCTTGGATTTTAGATTCAAATTTGTTAAACAAGCATCAAGCTCGAACACTGAAAAAATATCCCAGCTCGAGAACACTACCATGAAAAAGTTATTTGAGCCCGAGCATGATATTATATTCCAGCTCGAGAAGACTACTTTGAAAAAGTTATTTGAGCTCAAGCATGATATTGTATTCTCGAGCCGAACTCAAAGAACTTGCTACTTTGAAAATGTTATTTGAGCTTGGGCCTAATATTATATTCTCGATCCAAACTCGAACAACCAACTACTCGAGTCAAGAGTTATTTGAGTCCAAGTCGAGCTTGAGCACTACTTTGAAAAAATTATTTGAGCTCGAGAATGATATTATATTCTCAAGCCAAACTCGAACAACCAACTACTTGACTCAACCCGTTAATACCCCTACCAACGAGACCCTGAAATTGACAACCGGCAAATCCTCATGGGGTAAGGTGTTTCATGATTCGAGCTCTTAATGAGTTACTCGAACTTGAGCTTAACAATTCTCGAACTCAAGTCGATCTCAAACACAAAATACAGTTTGTCCGACTTAATGAGTCAAGCTCTATGATACTAATGTTCGACTGGGCTCGTTTGAAAGTTTGATTAATTTTTTTGAGTCGAGTTGAACAAAGTTGAATGATTCAAGCATAATTTTTTTAAGTCAAACATGTTCGTATTGTCTATTAATTATATAGTCAAAAGATATAAATCATCGGGCTCAAATCAATGAATCAAGTGATGTCGAGTTCGAGCCCATGAACAAGCTTTTAAAACTTGATTATAGATATAATATGTAATTTAAATTTATTAAACGGTCATCAAGCTCAAATATTGAAAAAAAATATTATAGCTCAAGAACACTACTTTAAAAAAGTTATGTGAGCCTGACTTCAAGCTTGAGCACTACTTTGAAAAAGTTATGTGAGCCTGTGTCAAGCTTGAGCACTACTTTGAAAAAGTTATTTAAGCTCGAGCCTGATATTATATTTTCGAGCCAAATTCGAACAACCCGCTACTTGACTCACTAATACCCCTACCCACAAGACTA